CCCATGACATTTTTTTTTTTTTGAAAGTACTGTCATTCATGATCATCAAGGAAAATTTGCTGTAGAGGTTATGCAAGGTCCAGATACTTGTGAAGAACCATTTTGTACTAGTCACATTAGGAAACATTTAAGGAAGTATTATTATTGGTGAGAATGCCTTTCTGGAAGATAGTTGGTTCGTTTATTCAACACTCAAAACTTGCCCTTTGACCTGGTAATCCCACTCCTGAAGATTTAACTGAGAAAATAAATGGAAGTGATTTAAAAAACATGTAATAATTAAGAAATCAAGAACAAATTATGGATAGAATAGAGCTATTTGTTATGTGCAAGAGCAAATGGTTGGAGACCATGGAAAATAGTGATTAAAATACATGCTTTTTCAAAAAAATGTTGAAATGGTTTTAAAAAATTATTATCTTCAGGTAGTTGTACAATGGAGTTGCCATTGAACAAAGCAGTTTATGAATACAATGTGTCTTGATTAATGTCACCCCTTTCCACGTTCTCATCCATCCCTTCCCTTATACTGCTTCTTCTTCTTCTTTTTTTTTTTTTTTGTCAGTCATGAGGGCTGAACTCTGGGCCTGGGCGCTGTCCCTCAGCTCTTCAGCCCCAGGCTAGCACTCTACCACTTGAGCCATAGCTTCACTTATGGCTTTTTCTCCTTATGTGGTGCTGAGGAATCAAACCCAGGGCCTTATACATGTGAGACAAGCACTCTACCACTGAGCCAGCTTCCCAGCCCCGCTTTATGTTTCTTAATTTTGTAGGATATACATTGGATTCTTCACTACATTGTCTTCCTCTTCTCCTCTTCACTTGTCTTATTCATTCCCTTTGACCTCACCGAGTACCCACTTCTTGATGTTTAATTTTGCTGAACTTTGATTTTGTCTTTCATAGGAATCACACTACTTGAGTTTAATCTTGCTGAGCAGGCTGCTGTGTGGGCTGATTCACTATACAGCTGCCTTGCCTTTCTCTGGGCTGAAAGGAAGCAGACCATGGCAGAAGGGCTGCAGCAGCTCTGTGGGTAGACTCTCCTCCACTTTATGCTTAGAAAACATTTGGAATTTATGCTCTTTAACTTTCTTTTTGTTTTTATGTCATTATTTAGTTGCTGTATGTTCTTTGTAGGTTGCAGTGTAGTGGGATAAATAAAAATGGGAGAGGGTCCAAGACAGAGTTAAACATGTAACATTTGTGGCTGCAGATGGGCAAGGATGGGAAGGAACATTTACCGTGTGAACATGGCTGAACTTGCTGCCTTGACTGAACTGTGGCATGCCATGTCTTAGCTCTTTAGTTTTCGAATCCAGTTAGTATTGCTTAGGTATTACAATTAGTCTTTGTATCTTTGGGTTCAGCTTGCATGGATTTACCCAACCACAGATGGAAAATATTTAAAAACTGTGTCAGTATTAAACAATATAGTATAACAGCTACTTATATAACATGTACATTGTATTAAGTATCAGAGACGATTAAAGTGTATGGAGGATGTGTGCAGATTATATATCCATCAGAGTCTATGCCATTAAATGGCATAGCACTTGTACTCACTGGGGGAGTCTGGAATCGATGCCCCAGGGAGGATTGCATGCCTTCTTTCTTCTCTTCTCCAGAATCAGATTTCTATGTACAATTCATGATAGATTCTTGGTCTAGTTGTTTTGGAATTTTAAAAGTCTAGTGTAATTTTATCATCTTTTTTACTCAAAAGTTAACATTTAATTTTTAATATGTTTAAGGTTTTTCAAGTATTTGATAGGCCTTGGTTTTGTGAAACTACTGGCCATTGTTGATCATTTGCAAAGTAGCGACAACCTCATTTCATTATACTATCTTATAGCTGAATACTTCTGTAAAGATACACTAGTATTTCATCATGGAGTTACCCTAAGGTGCAGTTCATACAGGAAAGAAAAAAAAAGTTATCTGGCATTCTCCAAAGGCTATTAGCTTTTGATTGCTGCTACTACAGGTTACTACAGACTTGGCAGCTTAACAACACAAATTTAGAATACTACAGTTCTGGGAGTCAGAGGCCTGAAATAGGTCTCCTTAAGTCGGTGTGGTGGCAGGGCTGTGCTTCTACAGAAGGCTCCAAGGAGAAGCGCTCTCTCTCTGTCTCTGTCTCTGTCTCTCTGTCTCTGTCTCTCTCTCTGTCTCTGTCTCTGTCTCCCTCTCTCCCCCCTCTCTCCCCTCTCTCTTTCCTCTCTCTCTCTGTTCCAGCTCATATAGGCTGCTTGGTTTCTAGATGCGTGACCTCTTTCTGGTGATGGCCAGCAATGGTTGGTGGAGCCTTTCTCTCTTCCCTTTTTTTGTGGTTAATATTGGATAACTTTTTCAGGATAACTTTTCTATTTTAAGGTTAGTGATCAGCACTCTTAATTCCACCTGTTAGCTTTTTTTTTTTTTTTTTACCATTTTCAAGAAGAATGTGGCTGCCTTTAGTGGGGGCAGTTGTTCTTATTAACCAAAGTTCTGCCCCCCCACCCCCTTCGGTGTTGAGGATTGAACCCAGGGCCTGTGTATGCTCAGCCTGCTGTTGCCCCTGACTGTGTCTCTATCACTGACTTGGGATTTTTGGTGTCTTTTAATTCATTGTTATTATCCTTCTTAGAATTCCATTTTTTTTTCTGCCCTCGACAGAGAGAAAGCCTATTCTGTTTGAATGCTGTGTTCCTCAGGTTTTGGGAGCTTCCTTGATTTCCACTGTGAACAGACATGGGCATGTCTCATACATTCCCACCCCAGGTCTGCAACCATTCCTGTCAGTAGATTTTCAGTATGTGTCAGAACTCTCTGGAAGACCTCTTACCACACAGATTGCTGGCTTCAGAGGCTTTGATGTTGTAGACCTGATATGGAGCCCCAAATTTGCATTTTTAGTTGGCAGATGATGCTATTTATACTGTTGGAGGGACTATACCTGGAGAATTACTGTAAGAACACTTGTTCTCATGATAGAAAATGATAAAGATTGCAGTATAGGTACTAGGGAGGACCTGACTCAAGCCTTCTCAAGAGAAGGAGGGAGGGAAGGAAATAGGAAAATATAACTGCATACCTAGATTTCACATTCAAATTTACAGTTTAACTTTGGTGTGTGCTGGCCCTGGCACTTGAACCCCGGGTCTGGGCACTGTGTCTGAGCTTTTTTTTTGCTCAAGGCTAGTGCGCTACCACTCGAACTGTAGCTCCAATTCCAACTTTTTGGAAGTTCAATGGAGATAAGAGTCTCGCGGATTTCCTTGTCTGGCTTTGAACTTCCATCCTTAAAGGTCTCAGTCTCCTAAGTAGTTAGGGTTATAGGCATGAGCCACTGGAGACTGGCTGATGACTTATTTTTATTCTCCATTAAGTTCTTTTTCCTGTAGTCTCTGTTTAGCTGAGAAGCTAGTGCTATATACTCTACTGTCTCCCATCTTCCCAACATTCTACTTCTTGGACCAATTTCTCTATTAGGCAAGAGAGACTGGGTTATTCTTTAGTAAAAAATCAAAATAAAAACAAAAAACAAAAACAAAATCCAACCTACTAATAATTCCTGCATCTCAGTATTTTATGATAGGAGTTACTTACTGCTCATGGTTTCTGTCTCTGTAACTGTGACTCTGTCCCTTATGGTTTGTTTTTGTTTGTTTTTTGTTTTCTTGCTGGTCTTGGGGCTTGAACTCAGGGCCTGGGGACTGTCCCTGAGCTTCTTTGTGTTCAAGGCTAGTGTTCTATCACTTGAACCTCAGTGCCACTTTGGCTTTTTCTGACTAATTTATTGGAGATAAGTCTCACAAACTTTCCTGCCCAGGCTGGCTTTGAACTATAATCCTCAAATCTCAGCTTCCTGAGAAGCTAGAGTTACAGGATTGAGCCACCAGTTCCAGCTATTTTTCTCTTTCTGTTCTTGCTACTATTCCTCAGTTTGCGCAATCAGCTTAATATGGTTAGATTTGTTTTGATGCTCTCACTTTTAGGGGGATTTTAAGTTTACTTTTAAGATAATGTTGCAAACACTGAAATGGTCACATATGAAGGTGAGTTTTACCCTCTCTTTGTCTCCTTCTTGTTCTCTCCTGTATCGTATAGGCAACTATTTAATTTGTTTTATGATTAAATAAATGGCATTATGCTATCTGTACTTATTTCTTCTGGGTTCTCCCTTCCCCTCACCTCCTCTAAATACATTCTGAAGATTCCTTTAGGGGAGAATGTTTTTGTAGACAGTGAATTCTCATTCCTTTTCCTTTATAGCTTAAGAGAGCCCTGTGGTGAGGGTGTATCATAGTTTACTCCTCTGTTAGTGGGCATTTGGGTTGTTCAAATCTTATAAATAGTATGTATTTTAAGGAAGTCACAGCTTATTGTATACCATTTCCCCCCTTAACTTTTTATTGTGATCATTTTCCATGATATTGGAAAAAAAGTCTTTGTAAATGGTATTAAAGCAGGTTTTGTTCTGGTTATTAAAGTATTACAGCTTGCATTTAGAGATTGAGGAAAAAATAAGACATTTTCAAAAATCAGAAAAAAAAGTGAAAATAAACTGGGAAATACCCACAATCCTTCTCCTTTGGTACAGTTATTATTTTAATGTGTTCCCTCAATGCCTTTATCACATTTGTATAAATATTTAGAAAACAATCAATGTCATATTATGTACAGTTTGGCATTCTGATTGTTACTAATAATTGTGCTTTTTAAAATGTTATACTCCTTGTAATATTTTCTTTATTATTTCTCCTTGATTGCTATTTAGCTTCTATTTTTCTCAGCATTGTAAATAACATGGTGATAAATATGTGTGCATAAAGCTTTGCCCAGATTTTATATTTTCTGAAGGTAAGTTTTTGTAAGACTGTAAGTGAGAAGGAAGTACATGTTTGTTAAATGCACTTACAATTAGCTCGTTCTGTTATGGCAATAATTTGTGGGGGTCAGACAGGCATGAAAGTCAAAATTTTTGTGAAGCAAATTCTACTATTTTCTTCTGGTAGGACCTCAGGAATGAAGTTGAGAAATTACGCAATGAAGTGAATGAAAGGGAGAAAGCAGTGGAGAATCATTACCAGAGTCTTTTGAGTGAAAGCAACAGAAAGTTGCACAGTCAAGAGCAAATCATCAAACGTCTGAGAGAAAGCGCCAATCAAAAGGACTTGATGCTTCGGGTACCATACCTTTTTTTTCTTCTTTGCTTAGCATATTTTTTTTAAAACTTTCTCAGTATATATGAGTATAGTCTTTAATGATGTGTGTCAGACAGAGCACTTTAGGACTTTCTTTATATTGTTTGGGCCTCAGCCACCAGGGAGGTAGGAGAAGGCGAAAGCTCAGAGAAAGGGAAGAGCTTATCCTGGGTCAAAGGATAAGTGGCAGAGGCTTCTCTGTTCTGCTCTAGTGCTCAGCCCACTGAGCACTGAGTGAGGTACTTCCACAGCAAAGATTTGCTGTGCCGTATTTGAGTTCTTCCCCATTACTCTTCTCTGCTTCCCTAATTACTCCTTTCAGTCTTGGGAAACCTTTCTTGTTTGGTCATGTAATGGATTTTTGAGATTCAGCTCAACCTAGAGGTAACTGTGACAAATTGAACATAGGTGTTTTAACTCTGCTTCCTGCTGAAACTTTGTTAAATTAACAGTAATGGAATAGAAGGTATAAACCCATGGAGACTAACTAGGAGAGTGGGAGCAGCTGTGAGTTGGCAACAAAACTTGTGGATAGACACATGCTACCTGCCCAGGATCCAGTGATTGCCTGTGTGCTACACAATGACTAAAAGCCAAGGAGAAGCCGATTTAGGTTACAACACCGGGAAGGCTCAGTGGGCATTGGATGTACTGGGTACCTTTGAAAACAGGAGACTTCTCTGGAGTTCTAAGCAATTATAGGTGACCCTCTTCTAATTTACAGGATATCTGTGGAGACTTTAAACTAGAGCAGCTCTGGCCTTGGGGTTACTGAGGCCACTGCTACCAGAAGTGGATCATTAGAATGAACATGGGGGGCAGGTGGGGAACAGGAGTGTGCACCAAGCAGTGAGATTCCAGTCAGGGGAAAAAAGGAGGGAAAGTGCTAACAGTTGGAGGTTCTCTATCCAGACAGCTGTGTTCCCACTGGACTATCGCACTGTAAGGCCACAGCTGACAAGTCCTTTCTACAATCAAGAGTTCTTGAGAAGCAGGTCAGGGATATGAGTTTATCAAGTGGGAGGAAAGCTTCTAAGAGGGAAGACAAAGTCCAAAACAGACAGAAAGAAAGACACATAGAAGACATAGAAACAATGCAAAATTAAACTGCCTTAAAAAAACCTTAACACCATAACATGATTAAAACTTAAAAAAAATTTTTTTATCAGTATCTGATAATAAAAGAGTGATCTAGATAAGGACAACCGGTTCCTCTTTCTAGCTTGAGGAATTGAAAGAAGACCCACATGCCAAATCAAATCTTTGTGAAATTTCAGCCCATGGGGATTTGAAAGGCTTACAGAGAGAGGACCACATAGGCCTCCCACAAAGGACCCAGATTCAGAGTGACACCAGAATTCTCAGTAGCCATGCTGGACATCAGAAGACAGGGGCAGTGCTTTCTGACGTTGAGGAAGTGATTTCCAGCCTGGCATTCTGTCCTTTGCCAAACTGTCAGCTAGAGTGAGGACAGAATAAAGTGTTTTCAGATTGCAATCTTAAATTATCTTAGGAAGAGGGAGAGACTTGGAGATCCAGTAAATAGGGAAGTCCCCTGGAATGTGGAGAAGGGAATGGCGCCCTAGGGCAGCAGCTACACCGCTGGGCAGTTGAGGGAGGTGTCACTAGGTTCTCCAAAGAACTACAGTGGACTTAGCAGAATACTGACATGTTTGACTCCTTTGAGAAGGACTTCTAAATTCCTTCAGAAAGTTTGGAGAAAATCTATGTTCAGTATAGAATTTAATTTTATGAACTAAATAAACAAGTAGAATAAAACAGTCACTAATTCCAAGAAAAAGACTTGAACATGAATGGAAATAATACTCATAGAACAGTGGGATGGCTGAGTAGTATGCATGGCTATAATGATGTACGAAATATTGATTTAAAATTACAATACAATTGTTAGGAGGAAGACATAAGAGCTGAATCTTTAAACTTCTGTGGTAACAACCATTAGATAAAATTGAAATGTAGATTTACAGTGTAGAAGCATAGGAGAAAATAACAACTATTTAAGGAGTTAGAAGTTGTTTTTGTCTGGGAATTGTACTTCAAGATGAGAAGTGGGTAGGTAAGGAACTCTTCTTTTCTGGATAAACCTCATAATGCTGTTAAACTATATGTATAGGATTGAATAAAAAAAATTAGAAAGTAGAGCTAGATGCCAGTGTCTTAAGCCTGTACTCAGAGCTGCTTGGGAGGCTGAGAAATCACATCTTGAGTCCAACCCAGGCAGAAAAGTTTCTGAGCTCCCTTCTTACCCTATTTCTGGGTGTGGTGGCATATGACTGTTATTCTAAGCTATGTGGGAGGATGAGATACTATTCCAACCTGAGAAGAAAAACTCTGTGAGATGCCATCTCAAAGGAAGCTAGATGTGGCAGTGACACCTGATATCCCAACTACTACGTACTGGAAGCCTAAAATAGGTAGATTGAGGTCCAAGTGTGTGTTCAGGATAGATCTCAAAAATAACCAGGGTTAGAGGTGTGGCTCAGTGGTGGAGTGCCTGTCTAGCTCAGCGTAAAGTCTTGAGTTCAACTTTAGTAGTATAAGAAAAAAAGTTAGAAAGCATTATTCAAGCATAGCCAAACGGAGGCAATTCTAGACAGGCAATGTTGGTTGTTCAGTCCCAGTTCTTCCTATTATAGTTCAAAGTGTTACTTTTGCTTTTTTCTTCTTTTTTTTTTTTACCTAATTTCTTCTAAATGCTTAGCATGTCAAATTAATTCTGTTAGGAGTCTAGAGGCAAGATGAGGTTCCTGCCCTTGATTCCCACAGAGAGTAGACAGAACCTTAATTCAGGAGTTAGTAGGCTTTATATGGTTTGGAATAAGCCCTGTGCTTGAACTTGGCCAAATACCAGACAATTGATTTCCAGTTGTCAGATGTGTTTTTGGACTCAGATCTTCAGAGGGTCAGGAGTGAACTTACTGTGTGCCATCACCAAAGTGCTTTTCATGGGTGGCCAGACCCTAGTGTGGCCTTGAAGTTCTCTTCCTGGAAGTCATATTCCCTTTTGTATGTGGACACTTCAAGAGGAGACTCAAGATGGTTGGATCTCAGTATACCAGCCCTCTAATCATTCCAGAGGCTGATTGAATAGGAGATGAACCTGGTTGTAACCTCACGATCAAGATGGACCCCGGCTTGTAACTAGTTGCTTTAGGTCAGACCAGGGTGTTGTTCTCTGCACTCACTGAAGAGCTGCACAGTTGTACAAGTAAGGAAGGTTCCTGGTAGCTGCTGCTATCCTCCACCCTACCTGGCTGCATGCAGCTCTTTGAGTTGTGATAGCATGGAAATGGAGTTGTATTACAGCTTTGTAATCACCTCATATTCTGGGATGATGGAAATTATTTAGCAGACATATGGGCATTGTGACAAAATAAAAATTCTCTCCTTAGAGAACTTAGGAGAATCTCTTTTTATTTTTTCTTGATTAAAAATTTTCTTATGATTTGTTTCATTTCCTTAGAAATTCAGTGAAAAAGATTTGGAAGCAATACAGCAGAGTCATCATTTAATGACCACGGAGGATCTGGAGTTTGGGAGCGAAGGCTTAATAACAGAAAAGTGCTCTTCTCAACAGTCACCAGGCAGCAAACTCATCTTCTCTCAGGCAAGCTCAGCTGAAATTGGATGTTCACATGCGAACGTATTCATATTCTTTTCTGAAACGCATTTGATAACTTCTCTGATCTAGGGAGCCTCAAGTTCCTTCTTGCTGATAACTGGGCTTACCACAGGTAAGGCTCCTGAAGACTAGGAGCCTTTAGCTGAATGTCAGCATTGGCAATGCACACATAACAGAAATCACAGCCTTTTAGAGGAGCCTCGTATTTGTTGTCAGGGGTCACATTGTGAAAGCTGTGATTCTGAGTGGTGAGATTCCTTCTCAGATACACACAACACATGGCACAGCAGGCCCATCCTTGTGTAGACCCATGTTGCCTTTGCTGTCTCCTTTCCTTCATCTTCAACTTTGTGCAGATTCCTGAATACTCTTGGTGCCTTTGCATCCCTGAATCTGAAAGGCTTTTACCTTCCTTGTCTACCCGCTAACTCCTGCGCATCCCTGTAGGTGGCGCTCCTCCCTGGACCTGTTTATGAGCCTCCCTCTTCCTCTGGCCCCCAAGCTTCCTTGTGTCGGTATTACAGATTCACATTTCTTCATCTCTCTGCTTGAGCCCCTCTGCAGCACTGAGGTAGGCCCTGCATGGGGAGAAACAGGCATTCTCCTGAGTCTAGTGCTCTGCCTAGTGCCTGGCTCTGTAAAGGTTAGTTGAGTGAATAATGAATGGAGGTCGGATTTTTTTTTTTTAAAGATCTGTCTTTGATTAAGTTCATCTGTATAGAAGACAGAGGACTTACACAAATTGGTTCTCTGATGAATGGCTGTGACTGTGACTTGTGGTTTTGTGAAGGGTGATTCTCAAAATAATTAACAACCAGCACAGCATGAGTACTAGCCATTGGAACTGACTTAGGTCATAGCCTCTGGGTTGGGTACCACTCCTGTGGTTTCTGGATCAACAGATGTGCCCGAGGGGCCAGGGCCTCTGGGGGTGGTTGGAGTGGATGAGCCAGGGTTTATTTTCTAATGGATATTTAAGTATTGTAATATTTTAGCAATTAGCATTGGACATTGTGCTGAAGTTTAGATTAGTGTTGGACCTAGTCCTGGGGCATTGTTGGGGAATGTTGGCACTCCTTTCTAGTTCTGACCATTTGTGCTTTGCATTTCACTGATCCTCTGGAGACTGTCAGCATGGATTATTGGGGCTTTGGGCTGGCCCAGTAGAAGAGGGGGACCCAGATTTCCCTCTTGCCTCTGTCATTCACTTAGGCAACCTTGGGAAAGGCTGATAATAAAGTCTCAGACAGCTAATGTTTTGTGATAGTAACTTGCATTGAGTTATTTGATTTGACCACAGTTAGTTGGGCTGTGAAGATGCTCATTAACCTGTAATAAGACAGTCTGTTTTGAAATAAGATAGCAGCCTGTCAGGTTCAGGTTTCTCAGAAAGACATCTTTGCTAATTTGAATATATTCAGTTAGTTAAACTGCTGTTTTGAATCATATTTGATTATTTTAAGAAAAGTGTTTTGAACAAAATGTTTATAAACTTATTGTATTTTAAAATTTAATTTCATCGTTTTTAGGATTTTGTGTGTGTATGTGTGTGTGTGTGTGTGTGTGTGCTAGGTCATATCTGTAGTGCACGTAGCCACAGGTATAAAGCCATTGCCTGGCATTTGCTAACATGCACATCCCAGCATTGTTTACATTTCTGTGCAAGGTGCCCAAGTGTTTTACAAGGGCTTTAATTCCGTTCTGCGAGGCTAATTGCAAATTGTGGATAAGGAGTTATAAATGTTCACTTCAGAGTTATATATTCTTACATGTCAATGTAAGAAATCCCAACTGTTGCAGCCTTAACTGTTTTTATTCTTTTTTCCCCCCAAGAAAGATTTGCTTTTCAGATTGTAGTTCTTTCTTTGTGAAAAATGTGGATTTCTTCTGCTGTGCCTTTGGCCATTTCATGTTGATTTAGGGTTTATCCTCTGCCCATTTCTGCAAAGGGCTTGAGGCTATGATGTTGTCTCCTTAGACTTGGGGCAGTTTGCTTTACTTCTAATCATTGTGTGATCCTGAGAATTAATGCTAGATGATCAGGGAATTGAAGAAGAGAGAGTTGACTGGATGTGACTGGCTGCAGCCAGAGATTTATATAGCTCAGTTATTGACATGGTTTGGACATTGCTGCTGAATTTTCTGAGTATTAAAATAAATGTCTTTGTTGCAGGGTTGTGACATAGCTACTGAAATAGATACCATTTATCTACCAGGCCACTAAATTGCCCTGATTAGCAAGAAGTGATCCATTAAGCTATCTCTTTTTGCACGTCTGCTGCCTCTTAAGACTGTGGCCCGCACATCCATGTGTTTCCTTTGAGTCATTAAGGAAGCAGTGGCACAATGGAAAGTGCCCTGCTTTGGGGGCAGAATACCTGTCTTGCCTGCCTACCAGCTCTGTGACCTCGTGCAGGTCACTAAATCGCTCTGAAATGCACCTTCCTTCTCTGTGCCGTGGGCTATTATATGCCTTCCTTCTGGAAGGACTAGAAATAACAGAAGTGTAGCAGTTGAAAGTCTTTGGGTTGTAAGCTGTAGGAACCAACATGGAGTAGTTTGAGCAAAACAACCATGAAAGCACCTTGAGTAGGAACACTGGAGGCTCCCACAGATGCCAGGAGCTGAGCAGCCATTCCTCGAGAGGGAAAAACTCTGGCAGCCCTGTCCATGGACCTTGAGGGCAGAGGTCGTGGGCTTTAAGTTTGACATGATCTAGATGCCACGACTGCCAAATATCTGGTGGTGTCTAAATTGTGGAATCCCTGGGAGAGAAATGTGCTAGTTTGATGTGTGCCTAAGGCCTGGCTCACAACGGGGAGGTATATTCCTAGGACTTGCCCCGGTGTTTCGGGGACAGAGGAATGATGGTGACTGGGGAGGACACTCCAGAGGCTGCGGAGAAAACACAGAGTCAGGCACAACAGTAGACTTGTGGGGAATGTGTTTTTGTGATAGGAGGGGAGGCCTCCTGTTTCAGCTGCTTCTGTTGGGGATGGTGGTAGAAGGTGGCTCTTGCCGGGCTCTCCCTCCCCTGCAGCCTGGCCCACTGCCTCTAGCTGAGATCTCCCGGGCTGTCAGCTCTGCTGAGGGAGCCAAATGACTTCATTCTAATGGGGCATGATTCAACGCAGGGGAATAGGTGATTGATGAAACGGGACCCAAATGGCTCCGAAGAGTTCATTTATTTAACATGGGTGAGCAGTTTGCTTCTAGGAAGACGTTGACTCACTCTGACTTCCATTATGCAAAATATCCACAGGAATCTCTGCTTTTAAGATTCCTAGCAATCCTTGTGATCCCCTCTTACCTGTGCAATCATTAGTTCAGCAAGTGTTTGTGACAGTGCTTGATTTGTGCCATACGCTGTGCCTGGTGTAAGATGTCACCTCTCAAAAGCTGCTCAGGTTTCCAGAGGTGGTTGGCATATGAGCTCTAGGCAGAAGGGTGAGCCTGGTGCTCCAAAGGCTGAAGGAGAGCATCTTTCTTGATCAGGGAGGGTTTCCTGGTGAGCCAAGGCCTGAGTAGATCCTGTGAGGATCCTGCAGTGTCAGTGGGAAGTGGCGAATGATGAATGATAAACCTTAATCTCTAAGGAGGAATGAGGGGGTCAGCCTTGGGGCCTGGATGGAGGGATCTCCCAGGATTCCTGAGATGGAAGGAAAGGGAAAATGATTAGGAGTGGAGCCAAAGAGAATGGTGGCCTGAGGCCCTGATGGTGGTTTGGAAGAAAAGGAGAGGGTAACTGTACTGGTCATTGGGTCTTAATGTGGACCTGTTTTTTCCTCCTGAGGGCCGGGGGTCCAGCCTGCTGAGGGCCATTTAAGATACAGGGGGCCTGAGTAGAGACTCCGTCATTGGTTATGTATATCTGCATTTTATTTTCGAAATCTATATCCCACCAGAAATCCATAGTCATGTCCTTTTTTCTTGCTCTTCTTGGTTAGCTTTGAGGTTATAGATCACTACAAGCTTTAACTTTACCATTTCTGAGCTGAGTTAACTCAAACAAGTGACCTCTGCTCTAAGAGAATCAGTTTTATCATCTGAAATTGGGAAGCTTAGTGTAGCCCCCTGCAATGTTGTGATTAGACAGTATTGGTAAAGTCTGAGACAGCATTCGGAGCATTAAAAGGCCAGTTGCAGCTGGTAGTTATCAAGTGTTTACTCCTTGGAGGCTTCTTTCTGAGAACTTTGTGTGGATCGACTCATATAATCTTCTTAACAATCCTGTGAAGTATTTAAAATTATTTATTCCATTTGTAAGTGAGGACCTGTTCAGAGCCACACTTTGGTAACCATCACTGCCTTCATGTTAGATGCCCAGTACGTTTTCTTGTTTTGTCATTGGCTCTTCTTGTGTTCTTTGGCTTTCCTCTGCATGTGATTGACAGTAACATGCTAACCTTGTTAAGTCCCCAGTGCTTGATATTGTTTTGGGGAGTGATGGGTGGGCTAAGGCCATGGGTCTGGAACATGATCCCGACCTTGGACATGATTGCTGTCCATGCTTAGATTCCTTATATGTAGAAGAGGAAGAAGGGTGGGGTATCACCTTGGGTTGTCATGGGGATTCAGTAAGGGGATGCCTGTAGTGGACTTGGCATGGTAGCTGACTTGACACAGACTTGGCCTCCTTTATCCTGGCATCCTCTCTTCCATTCTTGGCATTTCTGGGAGGCTGTGGCTGCACAGGTGTGCACAGGTATGAGCCGAGAGAATCCTGCATGAAAGTGTTGTGTACAGAGGCATCTGGAAGTACCTTGTGCCAGGGGCATGTGGGGTGGCTTCCAACAGGACTGGCTTTCTCTTGCAGTCTGGGTGACTAGCTTGTCAGCAGCAGGTGTAAGGGGTTCAGTGGAAGCCCTCAGTGCACAGTGGGGCCTTGGCCTTGTGTTGTTGGAGTTACAGCAGTGTGCTCCTGCATCAGGCTCTTAGCTTGCCTCTGCATCGCATTGGCAGCCTACGTGTAGCCAAGGAACCCTGCCATTGAAAAATGTTTACATGCACATGATACATGTATATGGCTATAAAGGGAAGGAAATAGGATGAAATTCAATTCTCAAAATATAAAAATACACCATAGGTATGAAACTTTATATCAATGTGCTAAAATAACAAGATGTAGTGGTAAGTATAGGACTCGCTTTGAGGTCGTGGTAAGAATAAGCAGCATGAAGAATCTGGAACATGCATAAAATAAGTATCTTTATGATAATGTCACAGGAGCAACACTAGTATTAGTATTTGAAGGGAATGGTGAATTTCAGCTGGAATTTAGTGGAACTGAAGTGTAATTTATTGCAGCCCTTAAATGTTAGTCATTTGAAACCCCCTGTCCTAGCTGGTATGGTGACGTCAGGAGAACATGTGAGTCCATGTGAGTTCCAAAGGCCTTGTTTGCAGCCCCTGTTTCTCTGTGCACTGAGGATTCGCTTCAGCATTTGGACAGAGCCTGGCTCCTATCTGGAATGAACTCTTCTCTACACATTAACTTTAGTTATTTTAATATTTCTTTTTTTTCTCATGCTGGAATATTTCCAAATTTGTAGAAAAGTCACAGGAATGGAGGATTTAATTTTTTTTTTTCTGAGTCATCTGAGAGAAAGTTGCCCATGTGAAGCCCCATGACCTCTGAATACCGTAGTGTATTTATTTCCTGTAAATGGTGATACTGTCACGGCAAGCAGGAAATGAGCCCAGACTCATCACTATCTTCTAATCCTCAGCCTCATTTGTACTCTGTTGGCTCTCAGAAATGCCCTTTGTAGCCAGAGGTTCAGCTCTTGGATCAGAGTTCAGTCTGCCATCTTTCCATGATTCTCGTGACCATGATCCTTTGGGAGTACCCAGGTAGTTACATTTGTAGGATACCTTGCACTTTGGGTTTGATACCCACTTGGTGATTGGATTCAGTTTGTGCTTCTTTGGCCGGAATATTAGATTTGTGATACTATGTTCTCCCTGTGTGCTATTCTGTGGCCAGTGCTCTACCACTTCTAGCTTTTTTGTGTTTTGGTGGAGATAAGAGTCTCACAGACTTCCTTCCTGGACTGGCTTCAAACTGTGTTGCTTAGATCTCAGCCTCCTGAGATTACAGATGTGAGCCACCAGTGCCAATATATATATATATATATATATATATATATATATATATATATATATATATATATATATATATATATATATATATATATATATATACATACATACATACACATTTTTTTGGGGGTCCGGGCGTGGGGCCTGAACTCTGGGCCTGGGCGCTGTCCCTCATCTCTTCATCTCAGGGCTAGCGCTCTACCACTTGAGCCACAGCGCCACTTCTGGCTTTTTTCTTTTTGCTTATGTGGTGCTGAGGATCGAACCCAGGGCCTCAAGCATGCAAGGCAAGCGCTCTACCACTGAGCCACCTTCCCAGCCTCACCAGTGCCGATATTTTTAGGTGGGGGGGTCCGGTCATGGGGCCTGAACTCTGGGCCTGGGCGCTGTCCCTCAGCTCTTCAGCTCAAGGCTAGCACTCTACCACTTGAGCCACAGCGCCACTTCCGGCTTTTTTCTTTTTGCTTATGTGGTGCTGAGGAATCGAACCCAGGGCCTCAGGCATGCAAAACAAGCACTCTACCACTGGACTACCTTCCCAGCCCCAGTGCCAATATTTTTAAAGTGTGCAGTTTTACTTTTTGGTGATACGGGCTTTGGACTCAGGGCTTCCTACTTGCACTACACAACTGTACCACAGCTTAAACTACACCCCCACCTTCTTTTGCTTTAGTTGCTTCTCAGAGAGGGTCATATGTTTTCAGCCCTTGCTGGCCTAGACTGCAATCCTTCCACTGGTACCTCCTGCATAGCTGGGATAACAAGTATGAGCCATCATGCCTCACCACAACTTGGTGTTTTGGTAAATGTATGGATTGTGAAATTGTCACTGAAGTCAAGGTAATTGCTATGCTTATTAACTTATCTTGTTACTGTTGTTTATGATGGTCAGCATCTTTAAGATCTGCTGGGTTAGCAATTTCCTGTACAGGTGTATACTCTCTAGAATTTTCTCATTTTAGGTAACTGAAACGTTGCTCTTGGACCAGCAGCTCTCTGTTCCTTCTTTCCCCCCTCCCTCATGCCCCTGACAGCTACCCTTCAACTCTTTAAGTACCTTCTTGCTCTCTGGCATCACAGAATGCTGGGGACATGTCTTCTATTGTCCTTGATGTCCCTTGTCCCAATGCTGGAATTAGGCTCTTTCTCCAGATGTCCCTTGTTCCTTGTAGTACATAGTTTATCTCAAATCTGCTTCATAACTCCACATTCCAACACTGCAGAGTGACTGGATCACAATTTGAACTTTTTTGTATGAACTGGTACTGGGACTTGAACTTATGGTCTAGGTGCTGTCCCTTGTTCAAGGATAGCATTCCACCATTTGAGTCACAGTTCCACTCTAGGTTTTGATGGCTTATTGGAGATAAGAGTTTCTAGGGCTTTTCTGCCCAGGCTGGCTTTGAACCATGATCATCAGACTTCAGCCTCCTGAATAGCTAGGTATGAATGACTGACGGCTGGCAATATTGGGACGTTTTAAACAAAAAAATCACATTTGTGAATATTAGTTCACAAGATTACATTTCTATTGGAAGCTGTTAAGCTGCTGACGCTGGGCTGTACTTTCAGTAAGTGGCTCTGTGTCAGATGCCTCCCAAGTACCACCACTTATGTGACCCCTCCACTCTCCTGTTAGTCACTTATCTCCAGTACTTGTCATGATCTGGTGTGAATTTCTCTTTGGAGCAAGAGTAAGCATGATAAGGCACTCTTTGTTGTATTGTAGAAATAGTGACCAGCATCTCTGAGGGGTAGCAATCACGTTAGATGAACTGGGTTGGCTGACGAGTTATTCCATTGTGGGTTTGGAAACAGTTCTCAACTTTGTGCTGGGTAATTGTATTTGTCATCTTCACATTACTGTAATGAAATAGAGAGATGCTGAGCTTACAAAGAGAAAAGGTTCACGTTAGCTTACAGTTTTGGAGATTCTAGACCCAGGTTGGGTAGATCCATTGCGTTGGGTGTCTAGTGGAGGAGCTGGGGGGGCCATGAAATGGAGTGCAAGGTGGAGCAAACTGCTCAACTCATGTCCAGGAAGAAAGTTGAGGAAGAGGCTTGAGTGTATCCTCCCTGTGACTAAAGAGCCTCCAGGGGGTTCCATTTCTCAAAGGTTCCAATCCTCCCAATAGCCCCCCACCTGCCACCAAGCTTGTAGCATTGGAGACCTTGGGCATATTCCAGATGCACATTACAGCAGGCAGAGCAGGACAAGCAGACATTCCCCACTCCTCCTGCAGGTGGTGCTGGGTGACTGTGGTCTGAGCCAGATCCTGGCCCAGGGCCTTACCTTCTGTGCTTTGAAAAAAAAAACAAACCAGAACTAGCCACATATGTTTGCATAATAGAAGGCTGCACACTTAAGATTCTTCCCCTGATGTCAGCTGCCCGTTGTTATTTCCAGGAAAAGCTGCATTCAGACTATGAAGAGTTGGTTGAGGTCTTAAAGAAGGAGCAGGACATCTATGCCCATTTGGTGAAATCTCTGCAGGACCCAAACAGGTAAGGGTTTCGGTTTGGAGAACACACACGCACGCACGCACGCACGCACGCACGCACGCGCACACACACATACATCATGCACATTCGTACAATGCTGGTGGTCTCTTATCTCTTAGGATCCTTATAAAGGACTTGGGTAGTAAAAAATTGCCTATTTGGCAACAAAATTAGGATAAAAACACAATGTTTACTCAGATTTTTAAAAATACTTTGTTATGTATTTGGAAAGTGCTTTCCCATGTACTCTCTTGGATACTTTTTGCAGTAATATTATCCCTATTTTACAGGGATCTATATAAACTAACAGAAGGTAAGTGACATCCAAAGTCACATGGCATTGCTAGAACTCTGAGACCTTGTGGCTTGTGTCTGCAGAACTGCTAAAATGTACTGGTGCCAGTGAGAACAGCCAGTTATGAGCCAGTAGTCACGTTCTAGACCTGCTAGCTTGAATCTTCAGGCAAGAGGCTGACTCTAGGCCTCTGCTTGTTCGTCTATAAATGCAGGGACTTTTCATGTTAAAAATTATATATATGTATGTATGTGTGTATAGATACATACACATATACATACATATATATGGAGACACCTCTAGGTGGAAGGATATCGTGTCTGTGATATGCTTCAAAACAATGTAGGAGCAGAGGAGTGGTGGGGATAGCTGTGGACTCAGATGGCCCTGGCTTCCTGGTTCTTGAGCCTGGCTGTGGAGAGATGGGGCAGGGGCAAATTACTCAAGTTTATCTTTTCAGTATAGGACTGGTAATTTCCACAGCAAAGTGTAAGACATTCCTCTTCCCTTTCCCTCACATTTGCTTTTCCCTCCTCCCACTTGCCTCTTCCCTGCCTGTGCTGGGTAAACTGCCTCTGTCCCCACCTGTGTTTCCTGCCCTGCCTGGCCCAGCCTTCTCCTGCTTTGTCTCCCCTGACTCCCTCAGGATTGGCCTGTGTCACCCTGATTAGAAGGCCCAGCTGACCCTGAGTTCAGCTGCCTCTCTGTGTTTCTTCCCTTGTGCCTCTTGGAGCTCCCTCAGGGTGGGGGTCCTTTCCAGCTCTCTTCCTAAGCCTGGCACAGCAAGTCCTGTGGATGTGTTCTGTGCAGGAAGGCCCTTCCCCTACACAGATCTTCTAAGTTAGGAGGTAATTTCCAGATTTTGAGATCTGAAATGAGTTTAGAGAAAAAGAAAACACGCTGATAAAACTCAGGGTGTAGGCTTCTCTTGAACGTGAGCTTTTTCAAGAAGCCTCAGCTGCTGGCTGTATCACTCACTGAGTCACGTGGAGAATCTCAAAAGGGCTGGAACACACTTTGTTTTAACAGGCTGGAGACAGGCTAGTTTTGGGTCCCTCATGGTGCCGTGGGTGGATATGGTTGCTCTCAACATCTTGAATGCCTCTGGGTTTCACAGGCTCTTCACTTACACATAGAAATGTAGGTGAGACTGAAGTGGGTCAGAGCTGTGACTAACCAGGATGCTTGAAATGTTTCTTAGTTATCTTCAGACTTGTAATGAATTTAGGGGGAGACAAACCTGGGTCGTCATCCCAGCTCTACCATTTAGCAGTTCTGAGCTTTTGGGTAAGCTTTTCTCAGTGAGCTTCAGTGGGTTTGTAAAATATAGAGTGATGACCTGCCTGCCTATCTATCCCTACCTACCTATCTATATCCCTACCCACGACCTTACCTGTTTGCTTTTCTCCTTACCTACCTAACTGCCCACCTACTCTCCTACTTAACTCTCCTACCTACCTACCTACCTACCTACCTACCTACCTACCTACCTACCTACCTACCTACCTACCTGTTTTTAGGTTGTTTTGCTACAACCAGTATCAATCTAATACTACTTGGGTCTTACTAAACAATGGAGATGTGGATCTGGGTGGCTAATACTTAAAATCACAGCATCTTGGGGGAATGGAGACCAGAATGATTATATTTCAAGGCTAGCCTAGTGTGCACCTGTGGTCCCAAGCTACTTGGGAATCTGTAGGTAGGAAGACTGCAGTATGAGTCCTGCCCTGAGCAAATACCTGAGACTTTATCTGAAAACAAAAGAAAAAAGGGCTGGATGCAGGGCTCAGGTGGTAGAGTGCCTGCCTAGCAAGCCCAAATCCCTGAGTTCAAACTCCAATACAGTAAAACACAACAAAACAAATAAAAGCATGAGAGGCTTCAGGCCTTTGTGTCTTACTCGCATAAGTTTAGCCTATAGGAGTGTTTAGATCCTCAGACCTGGCATATTTGGAGGGCATAATTGTGGGTGAGGGAAGGTGGCACTCCTTTTATAACTCCAGCCCTGTGGGCTCTCTGGAAGCTGGTAGTGAGGGTTGGTTATTGGAAAGCCAGAATGAACTTCTGATCAAAGAGAGAAAGGGAGGAGGGAGGCTCACCTCCAAGAGTGGGACCTTCGAACCTTCACTGTTCAATCTTCAAAGCCACTCTCAGAATTGGTGCTTAGCCTCATGTTGCAGAAGGGGAATGTGCTGTCTAAGACGGTCCTGCAGTGAAGGATGGTGAACGCTCAGGCCTCCTTGCCTTCTTAGCCTAGGCTTGTGGAAATACGTGTCTCCCCTCCTCCAGCCCTCATCTTGAGTGCAGAAGGGTATCTTATCTGTGATATGCTTTAAAACAGTATAGGAGCAGAGGAGTGGGCGGGGATAGCTGTGGACCCAGATGGCCCTGGATTCCTGGTTCTTGAGCTTGGCTGTGGAGAGATGGGGCAGGGGCAAATTACTTAGTCTTTTCGGTATTGGTCTAAGGATTTCCATAGCACACACTCAAGGTTGCCATACTCAGCAGCATTAAGATTTGGAACTAGATCATCATCATCGTCATCATCATCATCATCATCATCATCATCATCATCATCATCATCATCATCAATGTTGTCATGAGGGTCTGTCCTGTATATTATAGGGCATTTAGTCATATCTCTGGTTTTACACATAGGCCAGTAGCACACCGCCCCTCCCACCCCAGTGAGACAATCAAAAATGTTTTCAGATATTGTCAAATGTCCTCTGGGAGAAAAAATATCATCTCCACATGAAAATAGAATCACAGCTGTAGCTTCTGAAATTCAGGAACCTGAGCCTCCTAAGTCCCGTGTTTTGTCTGTGAAGGTTGTTGGGGTATGCAAGAGGGAAATGTCTCCTGAGCATCTGGCGTGTGTGAGGCACTGTGCCAAGCTCTTTCCCAGGTTGTATCTTATTTAACCCTCAAGAGTCTCCACAGGAAGGTATTGCTGTCCCCATTTCACAGGTGAGGCAGGGCGCAGCGCCAGTGAGGGCGGCATGAGTGTCCTTTGAGCTCAGCCTCCTCTGACTCCTCATTTCTGCCCCTGGCGGCTCCTTTTCCCCACCCATTCCTGGAACAAGAATGAGCTGGGTTCTTGTTTCTTTGAGCAAAACACCTTTGTTCTCCCAACTCCTCACACTTGAGAAGATTGTGGAGTTGGGAAAATAGAAACGACAGGCACAGAGTAGCAGCGGTGTTCTTTTCACCTGTCAGGAAGAGGGACAGTGGCAGTCAGCTCTCCCCAGCCCTAATCATGGGGGCTTAGCTGACACCACCACCTTTCCTCCTCCCTGAGAAATGTCTCAGCAGCGGGCCTCTGAGCCAGCACTGTGCACTGCCACTTCTGGAAGGTTCTCTGTCAGCTGTACAAATGGATGATTATGACTGTTTGAAATGAAACTAGGTACAGGCTGGGAGTAGGGACCCTTCCCTCTTACAGAGATGGCTTCACAATGAACCATCCTCAAAGCAGAAAGCATAGAGTAGGCATAATGGTTTATGTTTCTTCCAGTGCATGTTGATTATGTGTGCAGTTCTGTGGATGGAGCTGAAAAATTCTCCACAGGAGGAGGGAGCTTGAGTCTATGGCACATATTCAGAAGAGCAGTAGCTCCTGCACATTTGGGTGCAAAGTGACCAAGAATCCTTGGAAAAAATCTGGTGAAAAGCTTATGGTCCCTTTTCCTAGAAAAATCCATCCATATATATATATATATATATATTATATAATACATATTACATAGTACATATAATTATGTGTATATGTATAATATATGTGTATATATGTATATTGTATATATATATGTGTGTGTATATATATATATATATACACATACATACATATATAGATAGATATATATCTATATCTATATCATGGGGGGGCTGAACTCTGGTCCTGGATGCTGTTCCTCAGCTCTTCAGCTCAAGGCTAGCACCCTACCACTTGAGCCGTGTACCACTTTCGGCTTTTTTCTGCTTATGTGGTGCTGAGGAATCGAACCCAGGCCCTCATGCATGTGAGTCAAGCACTCTACCACTGAGCCAACTTCCTAGCCCCCATATTAAAAAAAAAATTATTTCACTGTTGGTGCACTTATTCAGGGAACTGTAGGCCCGACACTGGACAGAGAGTGAAATATTTCTATGTTTAATAAAGGAGGCATGACTTGTTAAAGATTGTCGTAGTGCTTGAACTATGGGCCTGGGTGTTGTCCCTCAGCTCTTCAGTTCAAGGCTAGTGCCACAGCGCCACTTCCGGTTTTCTCAGTGGTTTATTGGAGATAAGAGTCTCACAGACTTTCCTGCCCAGGCTGGCTTTGAACCGCAATCCTCAGATTTCAGCCTCCTGAGTAGCTAGGATTACAGGCGTGAGCCACCAGTGCGCGGCTGGTAAAGATGTTTTAATGGTTTTAAAAATGTCCATGTTCATTGACACTGCTAATTCCACTGCTGGGAATTCCAAAGAAATCAGAGCCCTCCTCAGGGCAGAGATGTGCACCGAGGCAAAGTATGCGTGCAGGTGTCAGCAGAGAGGGCTTTGTGTTCCTCTGGGAGCTGGGTTTGAATCCTTTAGATCAGTGTCCCCCGTATGAGTAGACATCTAGAGTCTTTCTGTGGAACTGCACTGTCTGTGGGATAGCCACCAGCCTCATGGTTAACCCAACACTTACTTTACATTTTACAGTGAAACCTTTACTTCCTTGGGCTATGAAGTGCTATTTCAGATGTTCAGTAAGCCCATCCGCTAGTGTCTGTATTAGACAGGGCAGAGACACAACATTTCTGTTGTCAGAAACTGTATAACTTCTGTTGGGCAGGACCCATCAGGCTTCAATGATTAATGAAGATCTGGGAGGCCGGGCCCACATTTTCATGGCCTCCTTGCATCTTGGCTTCTGGTTCCACACAAGCTGTCTATGCAGCTAAGAACTGTATCACGTTGATGTCTCTCCTTCTAGAATAAAAATCCATTCACATTGGGAATACACTGCAGTGGAGTTGTGTTGCCCCTAGATCAGTATCTTAACTGTAGAATCATCATCTTCCTCCGTGCATTTTTTCTTTCTTCCTCTTGTCTGTCTTATCTCCCATATGGCCTCTTTAATGGAAACACAGAAATCCCATATGTTTCTTTCTGGATTTGGAGTGCCGGGTGATACCCTAGCCCTGGAGAATCTCACCTTCCATACCCAGCCTTCTCAAGACATTATCCCAAAATAGTGGGAATATTCTGGAGAATTAGGGAATTCCCACCTAGTTATAGTCGTATCAAAACCGTGGGACTGACCCAAACATACCTGGGGGATGAGTTGAAACAAACGGTGAAACATTCATCTCATTTAATCATTAAAATGATTGCAAATAATTTTCGGAGATGTGGGAAATTCTTAAGCCAAGAAAGGCAAGAGTTCCACATTGCACACCTAATGTCATTTGCACCCTGTGAAAGATTTTAGAGAAAAAGTTGGAAGGGGAATACAGTGTCTGGGATGTTAGCTGGCTGTGGAATCATGGTAATTTGTGTTCTGTTTATACTGTTACATTTTAATGTTTCTATAATAAGCACATGTTTACTTTTGTTACTAGAAATAGCACAAGTGACATAAACATCACAGAAGGCTTACTGGGCTTTGCTTCTTAAAGTACCAACGGTCTGTATTACATTTCTGCTGTCTTGTTTTACCAAGTGTCAACAACCTGCAGGCTGAGTTAGGCCACATTTTTGCCTTGCGGAAGCAGCTGGAGCAGGATGTGCTCGCACATCGGAATTTGCAAAAGGCCCTGGAGGAACAGATCAGCGAAATTCGGAGGCGAGAAGGTACACATCCCTTCCATGTATTTCCCTTTGGATTTTCCACATGGAGGGCCTTGTCTGAAGTGATTCCTAGAACTCTTTTGAAGGTGGCTCATCTAGTCTTTTATTCAGCCTCGCTTCAGCCTTTCTAGTTGAGGGGCATGGTGAATTATTGGTTTTTCAGCAGGTCTGTGGCAGGATTGTTTCCTGGCCGCCCCTGCTGTTTCCTGTCTAGAAAACCTCAGAAACTCGCAGTCCCTTTGTGTGGTAAATAACCATCATTGAGTGGGCTCAGCCTGCTGCACAGACCTGTGGCCAGATTGCATGTTGAAACAATGTTCTTAGCCTTGCAGACTCATCCAAGGAGCTGCAGGCTGCAGGTCTGTGCCCATCACAGTGGCTCCCTCCCTTGCTAGATGTTGAGCCTCTTGCAGTCTGGGTTGGTGTCTTATCTTTCTGTAGCTCTTGTGCAGTGCCTGGCACTGGGGGGGAAAAACTGGAGAAAGCAGTGGTTTGGCATTTCTTTGGTACCTACTGTATCCAAGGCACAGCACTAAGTTCTGCCTTAACACCTGGGATCCTTATAGTAGTCCTGCTAGGTTGAGTAGGTATCAACTTAACTTTACAGGTAAAGAAGGTGGGCTGGAGGTGGGGTGGGTTGATTTGCCCAGATCTGAGCCAGGGGTATGTGCCTTTGAGATCCAGGGCTCTCAGTTACTCCACCCTATATTGGAAACACACCAATACTTACCCGTGTTTGTTAAATAAAATGGCATGTGTGGGTGTGAATATCCGCTCTACTTCTTCCTTCATGATTAGAATGTGGTGTGTGGTGGCTGGGACCCTCTGTCTGGCTTCAGCAGGCAGGTTTTTAACTCTGCCTGCTTTCCCATGAGGGCTTTGGGTCAGGAAAATACAGCTGTTTGCCTTGAGTTCTGATTTTTCTGTATTCTCACCTAAACAGAATCACTTGCTCATTTAAACTGAAGTCACTATTTGCTTGTACCATTCATAATGGTCTCCTGTCTCAGCATTTGATAGACAAATCATAAGTCAGAATTGGCTACAGAGAAAACTTGCAGCCCAAGATGAAGCCAACATTGGTATATCAGCCTGTAGAGCAGAGAAAATTGCTTTTTTTTCTCTGAAGGTGGTGCTTAAACTCCCTGTGTGTTTTCCTGCCCCTTGCCCTGTTTTAAGGGGATTTTTTGCACTGGTATTGGGCTTGGAAGGCTGTTGCTGATACTCTTTTTCTCCTCCCTCTCTACCTTCTTATCTTATTTTGGAACAGAGGAACCATTTTCATTTTATAGCGATCAAACATCTTATCTAAGTATTTGCCTTGAAGAACCCGATCGGTTTCAAGTGGAGCGTTTTTCTCAAGAAGAACTTAAGAGAAAGGTATTGACTATTAACTTTTGTGCTTTTTGTTTCTGTTGTTGTTTGTTGACTCTTGGGTTCCTGATCCCTGAGGTGTGAGGCTCTGAAAGGTATTTCTTCTCCTCTTCTCTGCTGCTCTGCTCCTCTGTGTGCTGCCTGGCAAGACCTCTCTTCTTCGCCTCTCCCCGCCAGGGCTGATCATCCTGCCCAGGGTAGAGCCCTCAGCCCAGGCCTGCTCTTCTTCAGAGGGTCGTCTGAGAGCAGCCAACCACCTTTCCTTGGGACATCCATCTCTCCTCTGCTTCTGATCCAGATTGATGTCCTTCTGTGATTGGTCATTATCTGGTCATTTAGGCCCTATTTATTCCTGATGCCTCTGTACCTGGGACACAGAGAAGGAGCTGGCAGGTGGTTTTTGAATGCATATAGTTCCCAGTTTCATTGGTACACCTATTTTTAAACTAAGCTTTTCAGTTTGCTAATCATGATTTGGTTTCATGGTTCTAAGAACAACCATTGTTAAGAATAGGAAATGTAATTTATTATAAAATTATCCTATGTGTGGGACTGAGATTCTGTCATGAAGTAGTTCACATTCTGACACAGAAGACAAAAACATGAAAACAGATAATTTCAACATGGAGCACAAGGAATGCTGTAAGAGGCGGCTGTGCAAAGTTTTGAGGTAGCAGAAGAGAAAATCATCCCTTGCTTAGTTGAGAGAAGCTTCTCAACAGATCCAGGTTTTGAAGAATGAATATGAGTTTGTTTAGGTAGAAGGTTTTCTCTGCAGAGAGAACACAGTCTCTATAAGGCAAAGAGATAAGAAATAGCAAGAAACACTGTATTTGGGGAACAGCAGGGTGAAGAGCCTTGTGGCAGTGTCAATTTTGAAGATGTAGACAGTGGGGAGGATGGTAGCACCTGCTCAGACAGATGAGGCTGGGCCAGGGTGGCAGGTAATGCACTTGATAAGCACTGTAGATCAGAATGAATGTCTCGTCTGTGTCTTTCTTGAGTACTGATCAAATTTTTGTTCATATTTTGATGTATTGAACATCTACCATGTGTCGTCAGGGTGGGATTTTCCACTTCATCCCAGGGCTAATGTTTGTCCCAATTAGGATGTGTTTGGAAAATTCTCAGAGTTTGAAGTTTCAGGAGACCAGAGTGTCTGTAGATTGCCTGTGCAGCCTAGCAAGGCCTCTACCTGAAGGAGGGCTCTAGCTGGAGCCTGGGGATTGCACCTGGGGGATCCTGACCCCAGGACCTGGCTCTTCTGGGGTCAGCCTCCCGCCCCATATGTTCTGACGCTTTCCCCTTGTTATTTCTTAGGTGCTTCTCCAGGGATCCCAGCTGGGGTAGTCAGCTTCTTCATGTCCCATGTTCCATCTTGGAAGATGGGACAAGTATCCTAGCCTGTCCTCCTGGTCAGCATTTTTGCAGGGAGTGATTGCTTAAAGCTTCCACGAGCATTTTAGTAATTATATATTACTTTCTGATGGACAACCCATTCTTACCGACAACGTTAGATAGGTGTACAAAGAAGGAGCTCCGTGTGGTTACATAAGGCTCTGACACAGTTGTGGGAACTTCAGCCCTGGAGTTTTTCTCTGGAGGGCTCCCCTGGAGTGTGGGTGGTGTGGGCTGCCACTAACTGAGCCTGAAAGAGCTGAGCACCTCAGTGTGCTGTGCCCACCAGTCTGGTGACTTGCTGTAGGAACCCTGTGTACAGCTGGGGGCAGCTGCGACTTTGGGTAGGGCTGGCCCACTGGCGGCAGTTACAAAGGTGGCTTCTTTTCTCCCAGGTCAGTGACCTCATACAGCTCGTGAAGGAATTATACACAGACAACCAGCACTTGAAGAAAACCATTTTTGACATCTCCTGCATGGGTGTTCAGGGAAATGGCAGACTTGAGTCCACACAACAGACAGAGGTAAGAAGAAACCTGTGGTCATCTAATTGCAAAGACAAAGCAGCTCATTTCTCTCTCAGGGCTGCATCTGTCCTGGAGCTTGTCTCTGACTGAAATTCCCTTTGTTGTGCCATGGGATGCCGGGACCCTGGTTTGGCCAGCAGGTCTGTGTGCAGGCCTCCTCTGGTTCCAGCCATGTCTCCATTGTTTGGTGTGTTGTGAGGCTTTTTGGGGGCAGTACTGGAATTTGAACCCTGGGATTTAATGCTTGCAACATTCTACCATACGAGTTATGTCTCCAACCCCTTTTTGCTGTAGTTATTTTTCATGTAAGAGTCTTGTTTTGCCCAGGCCCAACCTTAGACCATCATCTTACTACCTGTCAGATGCATAGCTCAAATTATAGTCATGAATCACCACACTTGGTTTGTTGTTGAGATAGGGTCTCACTAACTTTTTCCCTAGGCTGGCTTTTACCTGAGTAATTAGGATTATAGATATACCTGCCTTTGTTGTCCTTTTGACTGTAACCCAGCCCTGGGATTGATGCTACAGAAAGCACATGTAGAAAAGAGGTGTGGTCTCACAGGGACCTGGAGAGGGGCCATGTCATCTGGATAATTTGGCCAAGGTAGATGCAGTCTTTATCAGTCCATCAGCATTGGAACACAGCTGTATACATACCCTGTGTGGAGGCTCACCCTGATGATTTCTGGGTCTCAGTGCTGATCTTTGCAATGTGTCATCTCTGAGACTCGTGTGTAGTGGGTGCTGCCCAGGTTAAGCCCTGGAGTTGTGCTAGTAAGGAAGGGAAGATCACATACTGTCTCTCCCTTTAGCTCTTGCTGGCCTACCTCCCAGGAAGAGGCATGTCCTGTGTGCAGGCACACTGTCTCTGAAGCCTGTGGCTGTTCTCACCGTAGGTGCAGAAGAAAGCCTGGTTGGGTTGTCTTGAACTCAGCCAGGAGCACCGGCTGAGTGCAGGTTCATGTCTGGCCTCATATCATTTCTTGGGAAAGGTTTGTCAGCCTCCAGCTGTCTCCTCCCACCTCCAGAGTGGGAGCTGCTCAGAGGTATTTACGCTGCGCTCTGGCCATCTGCTCTCTTCGAGTCAGGGATTATTATTGATCTTGGCCTCCAGGGCTCCAGATAATTTTGAAAACCAAGAGTAACTGCAAGCCACTTAGGGAGAAACAAGTCTCCTGGTTTGCTTCCTCTGAGGCAGCAGTTTGAATAAGCAACTTGTTCCTCCCCAACTCCGCTTGAGTCGTAAATGGCGAATTTTGTTTGTTCATTTGCCCTTTGTTAAATGTCCCGTTCTGTCCTTTGGAGCACACTAGCTTTTTCCTCTGCCCACTCTGAGATCTTAATACCAGCCGATTCTGATTTGAGTCATTTGTCAGATTGCACTTCAATTTGATGTTCCCTGCGAATAGCCTTGTGCTTTCCAGCACAGTGCTCAGAAGATCTGCATGGGAAGATGGCGTGCTCACTGCAGTTCAGAATGGAGGAGGAGAGGGCAACTGTGAGAGGTGGTAGAGGGGGAACGGCAGAAGAGGCCTGCTGTTCAAGGAGGGCATGTGGGTCTCCCGCTGCCAGAAACAAACAGGCAGAAACAGACCAGAGCTCTTCTGTTGTCCACGGCCGCTGCTGAGCAGCAGGGCTTGCTGAGCAGGACTGGGCATGGTGGTGCATCTCTTGGGTCTCATAAATCAGAAGAGGAGGGAGATTGAGGAAAAACAAATATATTTTGTGTTTTTAAATTCAGAAAATGCAAAAAATAAAGACCCTCTGGTTCCATCACTTTAAAACAGACACAGTTCACAATTTGGACTTGTCCTGTGCACTTACATTGTAGTACAGGTGTGTGTTCTGTTTTCTTCAGTTGTCCTAAAGCCAGGGCATCTTCTGCCATCATAGCCTTACTCTAGTTGGAAAATTTCATTTCAAGTGATTCACTTTTTAACAAATCACATACTAAGGGTCTTTATTACAGTCTTTCTCTGAGCCTAGGATATTTTCCCTTAGACTATATTCTCAGGTGTATAATTACTAGGTCAAAGGACAGATATAGATTTGCGATACACATAACACTTATTTTCAGATACTTTCCCCTAACAGCTTCTAATTTTAAAAGGGGCAAAAGTAGTTCAGGGTTCCCAGCAGAGTTTGTCCTGTCCTTTTTCAGATGACTGTGCTGTGTGGTGGGAGGTGCATGGCCCCAACCTTGTACTTACTTGATGGCCGTTACTTGCTGTAAAGGAGGTGTGGAGGGTCGTTCAGGGTATGTCAGGGTGGTGAGCGTGGACAGAGTGTTGTGGGCAGTCTGGGCACCTGCCACCGCCAGGTGATGGGGTGTGTGAGAGGCGGGACTAGCGCAAGGACTTGCCACTGTTATTCCTGGCCTGATTGTTGTCATTCTTAGGTGGCTAGAAGGTTGGGACTACATTTTGTTTGGGAGAAAAAACATGGATAAGGGAACATAACGGAGCTCAGATCTGTGTAGAGTCATCATGTTGAACAAGAAGTAGATCTTGTGTGACTGTAGTGGACAGTAATGGTGCAGAAGCAGAGGGTGCTGTTTGAATACTCTGAAGAGCAGTAGGATAAAGTCTGCCTTGTCAGACTAGATTTAATCTCCTTAAAAAGAGGAGCTTTGTATCAATTCAGCTTCCTAAGTTATCATGAGTTTTCCATGACTTACAAATCCCCTGGCATGGTGCCTGGCCTGTAGTAGGCACTCATGGAAACACAGCTATTTTTTTTTTTTCTTTTAGTAAGTTGGTGACAGATAACTGGCTCTGCTCAGTTGCCTCAACACCTGGGCACTAGGCACTTCTAAAGTTGAAGGGATGTAAGGATTTCCTGTGATCTTGGAAGGATGCAGGGTTTGTGTTTGTAGTTGGCCCAGGCCTGGATCGCCCACAGGTCTGACAAGCTCAAGGTCACGCTGCTCCGCTCTTCTGAGGGTCTTTCTTTGAGTAGCGAGAGTGGGGGGAGCCCTGAGAACTGCTTGGCTCCAGTTCTCATTCTGAAAACATCCTTCTTCGTTCCTTGTTCTTTCAGCAGTGTTTTCGGGGGCAGCAGGTTCTGATGGGGAAACTGAGGACAGACATGGCTCTACTATGTCTACTGTGTCACAGAGACCAGTGTCCAGCTTACCTTCAGGGAAGTTAGTAGGGAAGTTAGTTCTGCAGAGGGAGGTGTCACATCCTTAGAGCACAGGAAAGAAAGATACACAGCAGCATTTCCAAGGAGTTCATGAGAGTGAGAGGGACAGGGTGATCTGAGAGTGAGCAGAGGAGAGAGGGCGTGAGCAACGAGGGAAATGGAAGACTGGCGGGCACAGGGAGGTGTGGCTGAACTTGCCTAGGCACCGTGACTCATAGCTCTTTGACATCTTGTGCCTTTACCTTTGAAAATTGCTAAGGCACACATAACATTAGGGGTGTTGCTGTGTCCGCAGCATTGATCTGACCCCTGCTGGAAACAGCTCATTTTGATTTGGACGAAGTCAGCAGAGGTAAGGAGAAGGTGAGGTTAGCGTTTGCTTCAGAGTGTGGAGTGATGGGGTGGCTGTGGTTCTGGAAAGGCAGAATGACTTGAATGCTTGGTAGATTTCCACTTGTGTGTTGAGGAGCTGTCTCTAGTCCACAGTGGTAGGGCAGGGCTTCTGCATGCTTCCTGCCTCACCCCCTGTGGGTTTTACCTCCTGGCTAGAAGGTCTTCAAGACCTTGATGGGTAATTCAGATAACTTGTTGCAGTGACACTTTCCAGAGGCTTGGAGAGGGAAAGAGCTTAATGACCAGGCTTCTGGGGACTTAGGGAGGACCTTAAAGAATAAAAAGCTCAGAGAGGGTTGGGGGGTACAGTACTTTCCTGCTTTGCACAAGGCCCTGGGTTCGATCCCAAGAAAATAAAGCAAAGTCAAACCAAACTGAAAAGATGAGAGAAACTCCCCCCTGACAATTTATTATGAAAAATGCAGATTTAACAGAATTTTAAGGCAAACATCCACATACTGTGTGTGTGTGTGTGTGTTTTGGGGAGAGGGTGTGATTGTGGGGCTTAAACTCAGGGTGTACACGTTTTCCCTGAGCTCTTTTGCTCAACGCTAGTGCTCTTTGAGCCACAGCTCTATTTCCAGTTATTGAGGGGTTAGTTGGAGATAAGCGTCTCACAGGGACTTCTCTGCCTGGGCTGGCTTCAAACTGCAAACCTCAGATCTCAGCCTCCTGAGTAGCTAGGATTACAGGTGTGAGCCACCAGCACCCAGCCACATACTTTGTTTTTAATGTTCAATCATTTTTTAATGGACACATAAAAAGTAGTGGCAGTAGTGGCAGTTTTTATACCACTGATAAGCTATATAGAGATGGTGCCCCGAGCTTCATCTGCAAGGGATTGGTCTTTCATCAATAACCTTGTCATCCAGGGCTAGCTGGAGGGTGGTACTTGAGTTGCTAACAAGAGATCAATTACCGGAGCTTTGTACCCCTGCGTACAGCCAGCAACAGCTAGCCCTGCCTCTCTGGTAGTCTTCTCTCTCCCTTAGGAGGTAACACCGCCACCAGCCTAACTCAGGAAAAACCAGAGAATGAAAAGGAATGAATGTTGTTTCTCTGACCTTCAAAAGGTCAGGGTCACCACCTGTGGGAAGGGACCTCAAACCTTACTGTCTTCTGGTCCTCAAGAGTTGTTACTGCCTGCCATCACCACAGTCATGATGTGGCATACCTAGGAAGGATGATCCAGCTGCCAAGAGAGTTCAGGTGGACAGTGGTCCTTGTGGGGAGAATGATGAAAAGCATACACATATCTCTTGTCTTAGGACACCAGAGGAGAAACAGAGCTTTTTTGTACTGTGTAACTGGTCTTAGAGTTCACAGAGGAAGAAAAGCCCCCCAGATAGTCCAACGTTCACCTCCCAAGTAGCTTGGATTACAGATATGTACCACCGCACACAGCTGCTTTTCTGTTTTTGAGATAGACTCTCACTAACTTTTTGCCTGGGCTGGCCTCACATCTTTCTGCCATCTTTCTGTCTCTACTAAGTAGCAGGGATTACAGGTGTATACCACCACACCTAGCTTGTATTAGACTTTTGTATAAATGTTATCATACACTATTCTCTTTTATGTAGCCTTTTTTCACTCAGCATATACCATTCACCCAGTCAGTAGTTCCTCTGCATAAATATCTGTGTCTATATCTGTATCTATATATTTGTGTGTGCGTGTACATATAGTTTGTTTGAATAAACAAACTGCTGTCAGTAGACACAGGTAAAGGTAATGTGAACATTCACACAGCGGGCTTTGTGTGGACATGCCTTGTTTTCCTTTGGAATAGAATTCTTGAGTTGTATTTCATAAGAAATGGCCACTGCTGTGTTTCTGCCAGCTATTATTAAAAAGCAGGCTGAGAGAGGGGGAGAATTACCATTTTTTCCCACGTGGTTTATTATTTTTATACGTTTAACAATGAATTTGGTTAAGTCCTAGTTGGTCTATATCACTTGAGAATGTTTTAATAACAAGGGAAGAAGCCAGTAAAGAGGATTACCATGTGTTGTAGCATCAAAGCATCATGCATGTCTGCTGTACTCAGTCTCTGACAGGGCTGGGGCAGGAGGGGCATTGGTTCTCTTTGATCCTGATTCACATTTGCATGTGATAGGTTGCATATGTTCTGACCTTTAGACCTTTCTACAAAATGACATTCTAAAGTTGGCTGGCTTCGTTTTACTTTTCTTCTGACAAAACAAGATTTTTCCTCTAAGAGGAAGATCAGAAGAATTTGAACTGGGCTGGGAGAGTTGTGGGTGTAATTGACTGAACCTTGGAACTCATAGAATCCAACTGTTGATATGAAACCATAACTATCTCCTATGTACAGCTGCCCCACAAGTGAGCCGGCATTCTGTGGCTTTAACCTGTTCAGTGCAGAGCTAACTGCTTCCTTGGCACCATAAGGTTTGGAAACAGCTTTGTCTTCCTTCCTGGGCATGGCTACCCTGACTGCTATTTTGTACTTGGTTAATCAAGATGTCCCATGACTAGAATTTCTGCTGTTGTGGAGAGCTGAGCTCCTGCTAGCTTGAGAACTTTATATTGTCCGTTCTGGAGAAGGTAGAATACAGAAAGAAGCTTAGCGATTTATTCTTCTTTAAAGCACTTGAGATTTATGTAGTTGCTGTAAATAACTGTCCTTCATTTCTAAAAGCATCAAGTTATCATCAGGCAAGCCTGATACTCTTCTCATTAGCCATGAGGACTTTTTGTCAGCAAAATGGCAGCGTTGCCAGGACTGTCCATCTCTGATGTGTGACAGTCTAACAAGAGGTTTATGCCCTGGCTAAATAAGGGGAAGTGATGAATAAATTGGGCACACCATAAATTTCATTTACTGCCATTTTTTTTTGCTGTTTGATATTTTCAATTCCATCAAAAGCTATTTCCCAAAATCTTGTTACTTTTATATAATCCAAAAGTGGATTTAGCAAAGGCAGAAATGGCAGCAGCACAACAGACTGCGTATTCAATTTACGGCCGTGCAGAAAGACCACGCCAGGACCAGGGAAATGCCGTTAGTTATTTCTTGGGAAATCTTGTCCTTAAATTATGCTTGATCCCAGGCAGCTGTGTGTGATTTGTTAGAACCAGCCTCTCTAACTTTGGTTAATTTTTATTTCCTGGCTTTGGCATTTGTTTCTTTCTGCCTCTTTTGTTTGTTTGTTTGTTTGTGTTTTTGTTCTGCATTTTGGATAAAAGACATCATTGACGTACTCATGCATATTCATGCTGCACACTGTTTTTGGGTTGCATTTTCACACCATTCCATGCTCCACATAGCTTCTGGCTAGCAAGGAGGACGAGGACATGATCAAAATTGAAGAGGATGGCGAGAACAATTTCCAGAGTGACCAGCGATTGCAGCAGAGTAATGAGGTATGAACATGGCAGTTTTCTCCTATTCCATGTGCTCCCCTCAGTGCCTAGCTGGTACGGTGTTCTATCTGGAAAGGGTCCAGTGGGTTTTTGCTCATTCCATACTTGTATTGAGTGCTTGCTGTATGCCAATGGAAGTCAGAAGTCATGAAACATGAGAACTAATGCAGATGCAAATAAAAATATGGTGTTTGTATACTAATAGGGAATGGATATTGGGTTAGGACAGATGTTTTGCTATCTAATCCAGCCTGTGCATTTTATTAATTAGAAATAGGCCTGTGAGGGGAGATGATTATTCCAGGCACTGAGTAAGTCAGTGACAGAACTGGCACAAGAACCCTTGTGTGTATACTGTCTCGAACTCTCAGAGGATTCGACTGCAGTGTAGGGGACCTCAGTGGTGTCAAGCAGTCCTCTGGAGCCCCCTAATCTGGAAGCAAGGTGGATGTCATCTGGGGATTGTGAGAATTTACTCCTGTTTCAATAGAATGCTCTTCCATTCGCTTTACTATTGAACATCTGGAGTGTACAGTCTTTAGAAACATTAAGAACGTCACAACTGGATGCAGTAGAAGCTGGGGGTACTTGTTTGTCATTTTGGATATTCAGTATGCTCAAGTTCATGGAGTCCTGAATTGGAGATGCTAAACTGTAGACAATTTTGGAGAGTAAAGCAATGGAAAATGAGGGCTTTGGAGTGAGATACACCTGATTTTGAGCCTTGTTATCACACTGGTATCCCTGTGACTTTGGCTACACCTCTGATAACCTGTAAGTGTGAGTTACCTATCACTGGTGATAGTAACACTTCTGTTTAGGATTATTTTACTACTTAAGTAGAAAGGCAGCTAATAAGTTCTTACTAAATGATAAATAACTATTTTTAGGATTACATTCTAGATTTTTCCTTCTTGTGCTTATTTGGTAGACTTAATAATTAGATTGGGGGCAAACAAGACCCTATAAATAAGTACTCATTTATGTGGGTCTTGTCTTCCATTTAACAAACCTTAATCATCTTCCCAGTGTAGAAAGATGGGGGTGATGGCTGGTGTGTATATCACCAGCAGTAATGAAATCAAGAGGAGTTATTTATAGCCCAGTAGATGAAATTTACAGCTTTGGATAAAGGAGAGAAAATGCTAATTGTAACACTTCAGGACATGCCCAGAACAGGCCTGAATGGATGCCTCCCCAGTGCCACCCCTCTGGGATCCCAGTGACCCAAGAAGGTAGATTCACAATTACATCTTTGGGGGAACTGAGCTCTCCACCTTTCTTAGCAAAGCCACTAATTAGTACACATCCTTTGACTAAGGTAGCATTCTGTGTGTAATGAAGAAGAGGAGTAAGAAGTATGTGATAAATGTCCACAGCATTGTTGATGACATGAGTTCTATGCCTTTCTTACGGAATCACTTTTAAGGAGAGGGCTGTGGGGTAGGAGAATACATGTCCATGGTGCATCTGTAGCTAGCAGACTCTTAGCTTGACTCGGTCATCTTTCACTCATAACCGCATCTGGAGGTAGCATACTACCCCATTACACAGGTGAGGAAACTGAGGGCAAGAAGATACAAACACTTCTTCTGCCTTACAGGGAGCATGAGCCTGTTGGACCTGTGTGCCTGCACCCTCACATCCCCCTGCTCTTTTCCCTTTGTCTCCTTCATACTTTTACTCATTCGCCCTCTTCTCTTTCCCTTTCCTCTCCCCCCCACATCCCTCCCCTCCTTTGTATTTGTTTGACCAAATACTTTTATTTGCAGATGATAGAGGACCATGCTAAAGGAGGCTGCAAAAATGGATATTTAAGGCACACAGATGCCAATATTTTAGACCATGATGGAGTCCCCAAGCCTGGCCACCGTGGAGACCAGCGCCTAGAAGAACTTCTGGGGCTGCTTACTCCTTTCTTCCATGAGAAGGCCTCATTGCTGCTGGAGTCCAGGTAGACGTGGGTCCAGGCGTCACTTCGCCTCTCTGGTTTAGGGGGGAGAACATGCTTATTTTGCTAAATGCTTTTAGGTGCACTGTGCATTGTACCTGAGGGAGCCCCTGAAATGGCTTGGAAGGAATCTTGCCAGTCATGCAATTAAGTAATTAGGCTGTGCACTGGGAGGGGACTTCAGCAGTGCCTCACACCAGGGCCATTATGAAGAGAGAGAGAAAGCTTTCCTGGAGAATTAGTCCTGGGAGCCCTGGGAAGGCCTGCCCAGCTGTGAGGAGAGGAATCAGCCCTCCTGAAATCTTCTGTTTTCATAGTGGCTTAGAAATACCATTGTAGTTGTACTTCTGCTATTTTATGTTAAACTTGAACTAGAATTCTCATATCTGCTGGGAGTCATTCCCACGTGAGCAAACACTACAAGTTGTTTTTCTTGAAACAAAAACCAAGAAACATTCAGTACATTTGTATTTTGTAAATGAATCCTTTATGAGCCATTTCTCTCCTTTCAGACTCTCTGTCGTCCACTCATGACAGCTGCTTGAGCTTGGCAGCCAAGCAAGTGCTGTGCCTTTATTCCCAAGTGCCTACTTTGTCTGACCACTTCTCAGGGTTGCCATGAGGGGCAAGAAAAACATGTCTAGTTTGTAGTGGTTCTTTTGTAGTTTGTTTGGTTCTCTTCTGGTACAGATAGAGAGCTAGAATCAGAAACTCCTGTCACAACCCTTGGCCAGAGCACAGCACTTTGGTACTTTGACATCATAGCCTGAGCCTTGTAGATGTTTCATTAGCTGGAAGGAGCATGGAGACTTGCTGTTCCTGTGAGCTCATCATGCCTGACCCTCCTCAGTCCGATGCGTGAGTCCCCTTGGGGGTTATTCTGGCTTATTGTCACCAGAGGTGGTGCTCCAGAGGTGGAGGATTTCCTACACATCAGGGTCCCCACTTGGTATCTGATGCAGAAGACAACACTTGTTTGTCTCTAACCCTTTATGAAGTGAGGTAGATTGGGGGGGGTGCTGTTTTTGACCCATGCAGTGCAGAGTCCAGTGGACAGGAGCTCAACCTGTGTAGCCCCTATCTACTTTCTTGTAGACTCAGTCTTCCAAATTTGTAGTTTTCAATCTCTTGATTAAAAAAGAATTGCACCTAGTTTTGAAAGAAAGTACTTTATGAACCAGTGCTACAAGCATTCCTGTGATACCTGTATCCAGTTACCTGTTCACTCCTTTGCAGCTTTCTTTCCAGTAGGCTTTCTGCCTATTGCTGGCCAGTGCTGGTGTTAGAATAAGTTTCATCTGCCAGCCCAAACTTGCTGCTTAATCTTAGTTTCTGAGTACTGTGTTTTGCACCACTGCCTCATGATGGGGTCATGGGCCCCAGGGCCATATTGAGGGCCCAACCTATGTACATGCTCTGGGCTAGCACCCGCTAAATGCTTCATAGCCTAGTCCCACTGGCTCTCATAACAGCTTTGCATGCTTTGTCAGTAATCTTACAAAGATGGGAGGTGGCATTGGAAACTCAACATTCCCTTTCTCTAGTTTGTGGTAGTGCTAGTTGGAGAATTTTCTGGGAATGATAGTGTTCTTGTTGGTCAAGGAAATACTTGTCTTCTGTCTAGAAAATTCCTGTATTGTGGACATACTGTAATTGCACTGGAAAAAGCAGGTTTAAAATAGACAGTCCTGGGCTTCTGTCCTGCTCTGTTTAGATTCTGAGCCATCTCTCTGCCTCTTTTTTTCTTCATTTGTGAAGGTTTGGGGTATGAATGATTATACTTATTTATCCTGTAAAGATCTTTCTTTCCTTTTTTTTTTTTTTTTTGCTAGTCATGGTGCCTGAACTCTGGACCTGGGCGCTGTCCCTCAGCTCTTCAGCTCAAGGCTAGTGCTCTACCACTTGAGCCACAGTACCACTTCCAGCCTTTTCTGCTTAGGTGGTGCTGAGGAATCGAACCCAGGGCCTCATGCATGCAAGGCAAGCACTCTACCACTGAGCCACCTTTCCAGCCCCTATCCTGTAAAGATCTTAGAAGGATTAAATATAAGTATAGATTCACATCAGAGCCAAGTTACATTTTGGGATAGTACTGCTTCAATCATGTCTTATCAGTTATTCCCACCCTTTCCCATTTACCCAAGTAAGATCCATACTGTGTGGAGGTACAGTGGCTACATGATTTGTGCCACTCTGTTCGGTACTGAGCCTATTCTGACCACCCAATGCATATCTCTGATAAACTTAGGCTCAAACCTTCCCCTTAGCCTTTGATCTCTACTACCTTCTAGTCATCCAGGCTAAGGTCTAAGGAGCTAGCGGAGTAGCCAGGTTTGGAGCAACTAGTTAAACCTCTCCATCTACTAGGATGGAATGATGTGGATTATCTGCTAGTTACATTAGCTTAGCTAGTTGTCTTGCACTTGGCCTCCATAACAACTCATTTGTTGAAGGTGGAGCAAAGTCAGTTGATCAACGTTGAGGCCTTGGCTGGCTGGTTTTTTCTCTGCTATGGCATTCACCATGTGTGGAATCCCTGGCCTTCTGTTTATATGCCTCCAGTCCCTAGAGGACATGGCTCAGGATTCCACCATCTAAAGGTTTTAGTCTTTATATTCTAAAATGGTGTGTGACATTTGACAGCTGAAAAATTATGGACATTTGAAAGGGAACCACTTGGGATGGTATGTTATTTGAGATTTTAAAAAAGGCTAATATAACTTTGAGCTTCAACTAATAGAAGTAGAGAGGCCACATCCTAGGAGACCTGATTCTGCTCCTTGGGCATGGTTGAGGGACAGGTGAGGTATCACTGGCATGTGATGCTAGCAGGGGGTTCAGAGAGGTCAACAGAGAAACTGCCAAGGGGGCTGGCTTATTTTGAATGCAAAGAAGAAGACTTGGCAAGTACTTGAAGGTAGATTGCGTATCTGAGACCTAACCATCTTTAGAACCTTGATGCAGTCAAGTGCTCTTGCTGCACACATTCAGGAGACATGTCACACTTTATATTTCTTGTCACTCATTTTGAAATGAGCACTCAGCATGGCACAGCTTCCTACTACCACCCCTCCTCTTGGTCTATATGTCATTGAGAAAACAGAAGCAATTGAACTCTACCCACTGCTTGCCTCTAAACCCTGCCTTTCCTTCTGCTGGAGTAAAATAGCCCTGCTTCTAGAACTAAGACCAACCTTTCCCTATGGCTTAGTTTATATCCTCTCAGCTCCTTCTCTTTTTTGCATCACTAGTGTTTTTTCTTCTTATGTAAGCATAAAGCATGCCTTTATTTCCATTATTTCTATCTAAGGCAAGATTTCTTGAAATAGCAATCTATATTTACCCTATTTACTTTCTTCCCTTACCCGTTCTAAGTGCTTTCATACTCTTCACTATAATTCTTAAGTCAGCAACAGTTTCCATGTTGTGAAGTTCAGTGGCCAGTATTTGCTCTTCAGTAACAGCTGTTCTCTCTGGCCTGTTATTCTTCCACCTTATCAGCCTGCCCTCATTCTCCTTTGCTGGACAGTGATGGTGTACCCCAGAGCCATGTTCTCAGCCCCTTTCTCTACTCTGTCTTGCCACCCTTTCTTCAGAATATACTGTGTGACTCCCCAGTTTATGCCCACAGCCCACATATCTCTCCACATCACACAGCCCACTCTACTCTGGACATTTAGACCTGGGTATGTGATAGACATTTCCATACTAATCTGTCCAGAACCCAGCTCCTTGTTCTAATCCATTTCTTCCCTGTTTACTCTGATCTGTCACCTCCCTAATTTCTTTTTTTTTTTTTGGTGCCATGCTTTTATTCAAATGGTAGGGGGAAAACTACACTGTACCAGGAAATAGCAAATGTGACAGGATTCTACAGCACAGCATCTTTTAGAAAACCTGTAAGCAATGCTTTGGGGTAGACAGGTAAGCACACCACACACTGTACACTGCCCAACGGTGGCCATGAGATCCCAACCAACGAAATCACCTCCCTAATTTCTGTAGGTTCCTCAATTCCCATCTTTGCCATTATACCTCCAATTTACATTCATTATTTCATCCCTTCACATCTCTACTCCTACCTTTTTGGTCCAAGTTGCTAGCATCTCTTGCCTTCCTTCTTGTGTTCCTGTTTCCGTTTCTGTCCTTCTATAGTCTATTCTCTATGGAGTAGCCAGTGCTCTTTTTAAAACTCAGAGCAGGCCACATCTCTTCCATCCTTAAAACCCTCCAATGGATTTCCCTTGTTTTTGGAGTGACATTAGAGGTATGTGCCATTTCTCTGTCTTTATCACCCATGACTCTTGCACTGAGCCTTGTCCACATGGACCTTCTTTCTGGCCCACATGCATCCAGTGTTCTCACCAACGGGCCTTGCAGGGTTGTTCCCTCTACCTGGCATGCATGTTCCTCGACAGTTAACTAGCCATGGCTCAGCAAGATAGCAGTTCTGTAAAGATGCCTTTCCTTACTACTCCCTTGGTTTCTTTCTAGATTTCATCTGTCCTCTCTTTCCCTCCCATTCGTAGCACTTACCATTACCTGATGTTGTCTTACTTATCATCAATATGCACATGTCAGTCTCTTTTCCGTAATGAACGCCACCACCACTGTTCTTCACCACGCACAGCCACTGCCTTTCATGTCAAGTGGAAAGAATGGGATAAATATTTGAATGAACATGCAGATAACTGGAAACTGGAACTCATGGGGGAAGTAAGTTTAGGAAATTTGGACAGAATTAGTGCTCCCTTGGAGTCAGAATATGCTGGATTCTAATCTTTGCTCTGCCACTTTGCTGGGGAGGGGTGTGTGTGGAATCCTCAGTCTCTGTGAGCCCTTTTCTTCCTCTATAAAATAAGGTTAATAATAGTTCTCATCTCAATCTGAGTGAGGATTTCGTGTATTTAAAGGATCTGGCACATGGTAAGTGCTTAGTAAATGTCAGTGCCTTTCCTTACACCTTCTGCCTAGTACAGATGTATAGGAAGGGCAAAGAAACACTACTTGGGCCTCTGACAAGACCCATGGACTGAACCATCCCAAAGGTCCTGAATATAGTGACAGCTTAATGAGTCCACTATTGAGATTTCCAGCAGAGTCACACTTAGCTGTTTTATTTAATAGCACCACCACTTTAGTGTATTGCACTGGCCTTCTTTACCACCATTTATTACCCATTTGTAAAGTCTTTTTTCCTGAGCTTTATTGTGTGTTGTTTGGTGGTGAGTAACGGTCCTCCTTTGTATAGCTGAATAGCAATTGTCATTATTTCTTACCTATATTAAAGAAGGAAAGGGAAGGACATTTAGTTTAACATTTCCTGATATTTGGAATGCCAGAGATATTTTTAAAGTATGGTGTAAAGATAGTTTGTGCTGCTTAAGTGATTCTACATTAAAAGTAAGCAGTGTGCCATACATTTTAGTTTTGGCTTTAATTTTTTTTAAAAAATCCCATTTCAGTCTGCTGAAGTTGTTTAATTTGAATTGAGTTTACTCTGCCCTTGATCTAGAGAGATCTAGATATGAGAAGACCTTTATCCCTGCCCTTCCGGGACACAATAGAGGAAATAAACATGGATACTATCATTTCTTATAGTCATAAAGATCCGAGGAAGGGGAGGACAGGATTTGTGAAATTGGACTTGGTAACATCTTCCCTATCTCCCATGGTTTCATGAAAGAAGATGGGAAGAAGGAAGAAAAATAAGTTATGTAACAAAGGTTGATGCTGTTTCTTTACTGACTGTGTGGCTTCATCCTGGCCTACATTGGCTTTCTCTTACAAGGTATTGACCGCTGTCCAACTGTCCTCTGCCTGGATCCTGCCCCTTCTAGCCTCATCCCGGTAATACCTTGTCTTGACTTCTTCACTTCCTTGTTTTTCCTTAGGAATCTATTTTCTTCCTTTACCTTTGGATGATTTTAAGTATTCTTATTTCAAAATCTTTATGATTTCTCTTTTCTTTTTCATTGCTTGGATTTTTCCCTTTTGTAAATTGTTTTCTTCAAATAATTATGAAAGGGATTTCAGTGTAACATGTTAATTTCTGTGTACAGTGCATCTTGATCAGAGTCCTTCCATCCTTCTCTCCCATGTACCCCATCCCCATCTGTCTCCTCAAATTTCCTAGTTCAGTTTTCATGTATGTACATCGAGTATTACAACTGTATTCGCCCATCATTTCTTTTTCTGCTCAACTGCCTCTCACCTTTAGTCCCCACCCTTCAGTCAGGACATGTTTCAGCTTTCTGGTCTTGAATTTTTTTTTTTAAGCATAATTTTTATGTACAAGTTCAGTTTGCTTCGGCTAACAGTCCCTAACCTTACCTTCCTGACTCCGTAGTGATTTTAAAATTGTCTTACCAAGGTCTTACTAAGGGCCTATGACATTTATCTGGTTCTTCCTGCATCCCAGGAGTTGAATTTCTGTCTCTACCGCCTTCTTCATTTGCCTTCCATCCAGGCTTGTTTTCTCTATTTCTGATGTTTGGATACTTCCTTGTACCTTGGCTTCATTGCACTATACTTTGAGGCATTTGTGTCGGGAGGTAGGGGGTGGGGTGGGGTGTCTTTTCTGGGATTAGACCAGAGTGCTGCATGCTGCTCTGCAAGCCTCCTAGGGGCCCTCCTGTTCTCATCGTGCTGTGTAAGACTTCACCTCCCCCTGCCAAGCTCCCCAGCTTCCTCCTTCTCCACACATGGTCATCTTGCTGTCCCCGCACAGCTCTTCCATCCTCTCCCCCAATAAGCTGCCCTCTACTTCAGAAGCTCTCTCTGACATCTTTCCCTGCACCCCCAGTCTGGACACAGCCTAGTTACCCTGTAACCCTCCCAAACCTATTGGCATTCCTGGCTTTAAGACCAGTCTAAGTCCTACTGGCAGTTTTGGGTCTGGTACCTACTGTAGTGCTGGGCCCAGGAACCAGACTTACAAAGGAGACTTCAAAAAGACTCCATAAGGCACCATTCATGTATTGGCTTAGTTTTGGGTCCTTGGAAAGCAGAGTCCAAGATATGTACTTGGATGATTTGTTTGTGACGTGGCATTAGGCAACGTGAAGGCAGGCTCAGGAAGCATAAGATAGGGATGGCAGTTAAGCCATTTAGGATGTGTCATTGGTCTAGTGGCTGCTCTGGGCACCTGGGACCCTACCCTTCTGGGCATCCCATAGGGGTAATTGAGCCTGTGCAGGCCCCTGGAAAGATGGAGCTGGGGACATTGACCCCACAGTGCTCTTTTCACTGAGATATTCTCCCTGCTGTTAGAGGCTTCTCTGGAGGTTTAAGCTTTCCCATACTTCCATAGTGCTTTTCTGGCTGCTTGAAAGAAGTCTGAAAGACTTCCCACCCTCCCTTCCTCTCTCCCTCTTTTCCTCCCTCCTTTCCCTCCTTCCTTCCTTCTTTCCTTCTTTCTCCCCTTCTCTCTTTCCCTCTTTCCTTCCCTCCTTCTCTATCTCTCTATCTCTTTATCTTTCTATCTCTCTATTCTGGTATTCAGGTAGAATACAGGTCACCACAGTTCTTAAGCAGGAGCTCTACCTCTTGAGTCACATCTAAGTTATTTTGCTTTTAGTTTGTTTATGAGAAAGAGTCTTATGCTAGCATTTGCCCCAGGCCAGCCTTGAGCTATGATCCTCCTGTTTCTGATTTCCAGGGAGCTAGGATTACAGGGATATCTGCTACACTCAGGTTTTTACTCATTTAATTTTTAACATTTGCAGTCTTGGGTGTCAAACCAGGAACCTTCCTTGTGCTAAGCAGATGTCTTACTCTCAGTCTCTGGAGCCATTTTTATCTACCTTCAAAGCCAATGTGCTTTCTGTTATACCTGCATGTTTGTTAATGAGGCACCCCTTCATCTACTTACTGAGTACCTAATATGCACCGTGGTGAATCAGATCACCTATGGACGAGCCAACTCGACATGGTTCTTCCAAATCTACACTTTCCCCTCAATGTAGGAATGGGTAAGGGCGGTGGTGGGTGGGGTTGGGCAGAGTTCCTAATGATTCCCCCTTGCTCCTACCTTGTCCAGCCTGCATTCACATATCCCTGTAGCCCACACATTGGCTGTATACCTTGTGTCACGTTCTGCCCTTCTTCATGAAATAGCCTTGTGTGAGTACTGTGAGTTACCTGGGAGCAAATGCTTGGCACGAGTTTTGTTGTATTGTGGGGGGTCTTACTATGTTTAGTTTAGATCGAATCTGTGCAGGAGTCTGTGGGGAGATCTTGGGAAGGAAGCTTATCATTCTCACTTCTTCCTTTGGAGAAACAGGCCAGACCTTCTGAAAGCTCTACAAGAACTGCTTCTGGGGCGGATATACCTGGCAGAGCAGGAAGCTTCTGGAGAACACGTTGATGGTAAAACAGAGAAGATGCTCAAGCAAATTGCTGTTCAGCTGAGAAGAGAACTTGAGCATTCTGTCCCAGCCAGCCCCTTTGCCAAGCCACACGATGGGCTGAAGTCCCCTTGGAGGGCCCAGCTAGTGAAGACAAGTGAAGTGGACAGGACGGAGATGAAAAATGTCTCTGTGCAGACCGTGGCTGTGGAGGAAGACCCTCTCAGGTTCACTTATGAGGGGCAGAAAAAGGCTTGGGAAGATGTGGTGGCAGATGCCACGTTCAGCTCTGAGCCCCAGCCAGAGAACTTGTGTGGGATGCCAGGGATGCAGACCACTCTCCTCTCCTTACCCTGTGTGACCAACAAAGTAAGTTGTGCTAGATATTAATTAGGTCTTTATTTTGCAGAAACAGAAGACTTAAAAAATCATCTCCAATGCCACTACTTTCTTCATGGGGAAAGTCTCATGTGTCTCCTTTGTCTGTACCGCTCCTGGCCTCTACCTGGAGGAGTATGTCCTTTCTAACCATCACCCCTCCTTGCCCCTGCCCCTGTCCCTGCCCCTGATTCTATTTTGGTTGTTGTTGCTATCAGTACTGGGCATCGAAGGAAGGCAAACGTTCTTCCACTGAGCTACATCTCCAATGATAGGGCTTTATCACATCATTTCTATGTTTCCTTCAGAAGAAACACCCTCGTGGAATCCTGTTCTTATATTGTGTATAGCTCTGTCTTTCTCATTTTGTGTCTGGGACGTTTCCCTGTGGTGACGGCCTTAGCATTCCCTTAGAGAGAATATACCAAAATTCATACAGTGTTGACCTACTGAAGACACTTCCTTCTGCAGGTTGTAGTGAAATGATAATAACCCCACTTTAGAGTAGGGGATTTAGTGAGAACCCAGGGATTATTTAGGAGGACTTTTGTGGTGGAGAGGCATTCTGAGGGCTTGTCTGCTTGGAGGCAGGTCCTGAGTGCTCATGCTGACTAGAAGTGAACATGCAGAAGTGAATGTGTACTCTTGGTCATTTCCTTGGTCATTTCCCTGTAGCCTTGGGGACCTAAAATGGTGGGTGTGTAGGGGAGGTGACTGAAGGTATGTTCATGTTGATCTCTCTCGGTCCAAAGATAATCAGATATTCCAGATGGTTGAAAAGCAGACAAGCCTGATTGGATTGATGTAGTGGTTCTTTTGGAAAGAGGTGCTGGGTTGAGATTCAGTGTCAGGGAGATACCTTCTGTAAGAAGGAAATAAGTTGTGTTTCTAATAGAACCCATGGAAGGCTGAGAGATTGTTTCCAATGGCTGTTTTGTAGCTTAGAAATCAACTGTACACACTGCTTCAGAGCAGCAGAATGGAGAATTAAGTTTATTTTCTGACCATTAAATGACTGCTTTTGTGCATACCAAAGAGAGTTAGATATATCATTAGCAAAATTGCTTTTGATTGTTTTAAATTATGCGCCCAAACTGTAATTTCCAGAAAAGGGTTTTCTAAAGATATCGGTAGAGACCCCGAAAAAAAATACACTGCCATTATATTAATGGTACTCAAAATGCAAATTTGTGCAGTTTGGCTGGAATAGAAGTGCTCTCATTCTCTCTAGCTCCTTTGGTTCGTACCTGTATATTAGGAAAACTAGGTGGTTTTTTTTTTCCCCTTTGTTTTTTGTTTACTTTTACTCTATTGTATGAGAGATGCCATTCTGCTTCAGGAAAATTAGATAATTGAATGGGCTTAATTTTCCAAAATATATTATATGTATATATATTTTAGTTTGAAATTATCTCCACTGTGTTTTCTAAAGGAGATAAATCTTTATTTTTAATCATCTGCCACATATACCAGGGATTATGCTAAATTTTATCATTTTGTTTAGTCTTCTTAAGAAGTATTTGAGTTTGGTAAGTATTATGTTCATTTTACGTGAGAAGACATGTGGGCACTAATAGGCTCAGCAAACTGTCCAGAGTGACTTAACTGGGCAATGTCAGGGAGAGGATTGGAACTTGCCGGGCTTCAGAGGTTAAGGGAAATGTTAGTAGTCTGCCTTCCTTGGAGGGAGTAAGGGCCTCTTATCTGTAGTACCTGCGGAATAGAGAGAAGGTAATCATTTTCTGGATGGTTTGGTAGTATCAGAATGGTTAATCTTGTGATTTAAGCTAGAGCTGTGGTATCCTTCCTGTGAGACAAAAGATGTGAGACAGGCCAAACTGCTCCCATGGTTTAGTTACAGAGGCACAAGGATGGTCTTGCACAGATCTGCCTGGGGTCATTTTGGGCTGGCCACTGACCTGCGTTGAATATTCGAATAATAAGGCACCTGCGTTCTCTCCTTGGCTTGGATGGGTCATTGTGACCTAGACCAAGGGTGGCAGGGGTCTGCTGAGGAACCTTGTACGTGACAAGGTAGGAGCTCAGAGTGTGAGTTCCTATTATCCTTCCAGTCCCCAGTAACACGTTCCAGTCTTCCATTGTTATTAGGGTGGTAGGTGGGACTGTTGGGAGGCCATAAGGCAGCATTTTGTGTGGTGTTATTTTAGGACCGGCGTTAGGTTGGCTGACGGCAGTCTTCCAGCTTGAAATTGGCGTTGGCATTTGTGCACTTGCAGATCTCTTCTGCTGCCATATGACACACAGATTTGGATCCAGGAATAAAGACTGGTGGAGACCCAGGGCCAGCAAATGTTGTTATTTCCCAGCCCTCTTTACTAAAACATCTGCCTCCTCCCAGGTGGACTCTGTCACCCCCTCAGACTGTTCTTGCCCCAGAATTTGCCCTCTCCTCTTCTCTGGGACTCCAGGGCTGATGGCATCTTACTTCTCCTAACTGAGCACTGGAATCTTAAAAACTGGTTTGAGCCTGACCCTCAAACTTTCTTGCTGTATTACGTTGGACTACTTGGAGAACAGAGGTGCTACCATCCCTTATCCTGTGAGCTCTGAAAAAGCAGTTTATCTGAGTAGTGTGGGGAACTGCTTGGAAGCACTGTGCATGTAGGCGGCAAGGGTCCTCACACTCTTCCTGGAGAGACTAAGATCTCATTTCTCAGGTCTCAAGTAGTTTCTTTTTTAATCTCAGCTTTCTTCTCCATTATTTAAAAAAAATAATGATGACATTCTGCAGTTCATCCATTTCAAGGGTATAATTCAAAGACTTTTAAGTCTATCCACAGAGTTATACAACCATTGCCAATCAGTGCTAGAACATTTCACCATCCCTCAAAGAAACACTGCACTCATTTGCAGTCAGTGCACTTTTCCCACTTGCCTACCCAAGCTCTGTGCAACCACTAATGTGCTTTCTGACTCTTTAGATTTGCCTGTACTGGACCTTTCAGATGGGCAGGATCTTCCAGCTGGTGGTGATTGGTGGCTGCCCCTCCCTTAGCGTAGTATGTTTAGGGTTCACTCATATTGCCTCATGGATCAGTACTTCATTATTTTTTTCTTGCCAGATAGTATTCTAATACCACGTTTCATTTGTCCATTCATCAGCTGGTGTGTCATTGGGCTATTTCTACTTTTTGGATATTAAGAATAATATTCCTATTCATGTACATGTTGTTACTCACGTCCACATTTCCCTTTGGATTTATACCTCGGAATGAAATTGTTGGAGCATGTGGTTATTCCAAGTCAAACTATTTTGAGGAGTTGACTGCTTGCCAAGCTGCCGAGTGCCTTTTATAACCCACCAACCATGCATGAGCATTCCAGTTCTTCCACATCCTCACCAACACTTGTTACTGTCCTTTTAGTTGTAGTCATCCTAATGGGTATGAAGAGGTGGTATTTTGTTGTGATAGCACTTACATTGTCCTGATGACTAGTGATAGTGAGCTTCTTTTTCTTTTTTTTTTTT